GAGGGCAACAATGGTTAACATATCAATTAGGTGAGATTCTTGCAATTCTTTACAGAGGAGAGTATTGCTCAACCTATCAATTAGGTCACTTAACATATCAATTAGGGAAAAAGGATAAAAAAAACACATTTAGTAAGCCACATTGCAGGTTTGCTATAATACACATATAACGAAGCTATTTTCTTAGAGTACAACAATAACGTTGCCGAATGCTTTTTCTCTGATGTCAGGGATCACTCGTGTGTGCAAACCAGTTAAGGTGTTTGCCCATCACATAAATTGTATTCAAGAGGTTTAAATGTTTAACACGTATATGGGGCTGATAATCTGCCTTTTGCTGTGTACAAAAGATGCCTCAGGTTGGCCTGAGGGTCCCAGCTTTCCAAAGACTATCGGAGCAGCCTCCTGTCGCATAGGAGAGGATGAATTATGATCAGTCTGTTTACAAATCTCATCTGAGTGTGTATTTGTGCCTTTGCATACTTTGTGTAGCCCACCTTAAATATGCACAGGTCAGCATGGGATTGGGTGAAATCATCTACTATGAAGTGTATTCTGTAGTAAACGTTGCCTATCTCGGGTAATTGATTATCAGTTTTTATATACATAAGAACCAATGGCCAGGGAGCCTGGCTCCTGCCCAGCACCAATAGAAAGTAGGACACTGTGTGTCACCACTCCGCATGAGATCAAACCTTAAAACTGAAAGCATTTCCTCCTGGGCACATTCCCCTTTTCCATCATCTTAACATCTAAATGTGATAACTGAGACACTCCAAAATCTGTATCTATTCAAAAATCTCCTCATAACTGTTAACATATAAAAAATTCACTAGCTGTTTGGCATGCTTAGATTACTTTGCCATTTTTGTGAAAGCAACGTGATTTGCTGCATTGTCAATATATGAATCCAGGAAAGGGAAAAAGCATTACTACTGCCTTCAAACTTCTTCAAAAAATACACTTTCCTATTAATCGTGGAAGGGCTCAATCATAACCACATTATTGTAGAGGACAAACCTAAAACTCAGCACAATTCAGGCATCTGGGGTGAATGGGGAACCATGAAAAAAACTAATTCTTGCACCACTGGTGCTTCTATTTTTGTGAAAGACTCTACATGAGTAAGAAATGCTAAAACGCACAGAGGAGGCTGAGGCAGGAGGGTTCTTGGGTCTTCCCTGCTCTGTGTCCCAGCAGCGCCCAGGTGGGAGGTGCACCCCTCAGAGTGACTTCTGAGGTCCCTGCCAAGCCCTCTGGACATGGACTGGGACACACCCCTCTCCGTGACCAGCTCTAAAGGAGAACGGAATCAGATCATCTGCACTTCGGAATCCTGATCAGGCATCCTGATTTTGTTGAGTGCTGACTATCTGTGAGGCACAGTAATTCTGGGCGTTTTACATTCATTATTTTGTTTAATGCTTTCGATCTCATGATTGGCCCAGGTGTCCTGGAGACAACACCGTCTGTCTCCATTGGACCGTGGGGAGGATTTGCCTATGTAAAAATGCTAATGGTAACTGGTGTTAGGCACCCGCCAGCTGTCTGTTTTCTGTCTGCTTCCTCGGGCTCCAGCAGTCATGAGTTCTTGGTTTTGACTGTGTGAGGAACTCCCTCCCCGCATCTGTGCCCATGTAGTTTCCTCTGTGGACAGGTTGCCATCCTCCTGTGACTGTGAAGACCCACAGACACAGTTCTCCTGTCCGCAATCCCAAAGTATCTGTTCCCTCACTGTGATAGCTCGGACCCTGAAATAAAATCCAAGGAAGCAAGAAATTAAAAATTAGGGAGCAAAGCTTTATTTTAGGCCAGGCCTGGCAATGCAGCCTCTGGTAGCCAATATGGAAGACTGCGTGCCTTACAGCTAAAGGGTTGGGTTTTTAAAGCTGAAAAACCACAGGAATGTTGTGAATGTTGACACAATTTGATAGCACCTGGGCTTCTTGGTATTTCCTGTAATTTGCTTGTAGTTAAACGTTTCTTAAGGAACAGCACATTTTATTACAGATAGGCGGAAGGGGTTGGGGGGATTACAAGAAACTGAAACTTAAGGCTTTTACAGGAAATGGAGACTTAACCTAAAAAGAATGGGGAGGGGAGGGGCTTGTGCAGCACATACAGAACAAGACGGCGGCACATTGGTTAGAGCTAGGCTACAAAATTCACAAAACTAACATGTCGGGGACCAGAGTCTGTAATAAAGAGGGCCTGAGGATGCAAACCGATGCCCTGTGGGTAGGTAGTGCTTGGAAGGGCTCCTTACCCCAGGTCACGGTGCAGAGACCCACAGGACTGAGACACTCACAAGGCAAGATACCTATTGAGGTGGGGACTGTTCATAACAGATGCAAAAGCTTTGCTGGGAGGAAAACCAGGTTCGCTATGAACCTGTGCCTTACTCTGTGGTATGTTTACCCTCTCGCTTTGACCACTCCATCATTTCCAGAAATCATCCCACCCCTGCTGCACTGCACACACACACCACTGTCTAAATCCTGTGTTTACAAAATGGGCTAACGAGAGAGGACTTTGTCTTTGCCCGACCTAAGGCGTGGACCTCCTAAACCTGCAGAATCTTCTTTGCCGCTCTTTATCCCTCCCAGTATCCCCCGGAGCAGCAGTGCAGGCTCCCATCAGCCCCCAGCGATAACAGAAAGATAATAAACATTGTGACTCGTTGTATTTTTTTAATGAGTCAAGTACTATGTTCCGTGTGTCAGGAGTATTCTATTTCACATAGAAATGTACAAGAGAAAGTAAACTGTTCATTCCCAGAGACAGTTACTGTCCATGGTGGGCACCGAGCTTTGAGAAACAAGTGAGGTGTGTTTCAAACTGCAGTGGTCAGTCAGCTTTCGGCATTGGATCTCCTGGCTGCTGGCTGCTGGCCCTGAGGCCCTTGTTCCCTTCTGCTGTTTGTCCCTGTATGAGTTCACAGGTCAGGGGGTTCCGTGGATCCCACCTTTGCAGCACCAACATTGCTTTGGAATGTTCCAAGACCTTCTCACACATCTGGTTCTCACACAGAATGTTTGGTGCCTTGAGATAAACTTGCTTCCCTCTCTGTAGTTTTTAGAGCCAGTTAAGGGTGAGGAGGAGGCTTTGGGGGTATTTGACCAAAGTTCACCCCCTGCTTGAGGTCTAATTGCTAACTAGGCGTCTAAACTATAATCTATAGGCATAAAATAAGTGAAGTTTTCAAGACTAGAGTTTGGGGGGTTTCAGAAGGAAAAAAGGCAGAGAATAGAAAGCAAATAGTGGGGTTATTAATGCCCTCAGGGTAGTTCTTCACTTCTTGGGGAGGATTACTATCTTGTAGGGTTCCCCAGAGGAACACATTCAACATGAAATACATGTATGACTTAAGCCAGGCATGATGGGGCACACATGTAATCCCAGCGCTTGAGAAGCTGTGGCAGAGTGATCACCCCAAATCTGAGCCCAGCATGAGCTGCATAATGAGTTCAAGACCAGTCTGAACTATACAGCAAGACCCTGACTCCAAAAAAAAAAATCTAAATGTGAAAACAGAAAATTTCTTGTGGAAACTAAAATGGGTACAACTCTAAAAGCCTTAGGCGTAGCAACCACTTCCTAAATGGAATCCCAGGGTCACATGAAATAGTATCAAGAATCAACAGATATCATATGATGTCAAATCAATAAACTTCTCCATAGCAAAGCAAACAACTGACAGTTTGAAGAGACAGCTTTCAGAAAGAAGAGCAATCATCAAAATCTCCAATAATAACAAATGCTGGCAAAGTTGTGGAGAGAAAGAAATACTTCTGTAAACTAGTTCAACTATTACCGAGATTGGTATAGGATCCTCAAAGAACTAAAAATAGAAGTTCCACTAGATCCACTGTCTCCCTTCTAGGTATCGTCCTAAAAGTGTTACAGTCATGGAATTACAGGCATACTCCGGTGCTCACGTTTAAAGCAACACAATTTCTCAAGAGTAGGTCTTGGAAACAGGGCGTATGTCCACCAACAGATGAATGGATAAGGAAAACCTAGTATTTACACGGAGTGGACTTTTACTCAGCTATAAAGGATGATAGACGAGGCATTTGTAGGTAAATAAATGCACTTTGAGAACATGATGTTAAATTATTTGAGTCAGACACACCAGTTTAAATATGACATGGTTTCTCTAATACAAGAAACTCAAGAAATAGATAAACAGAAGTTGGGAGAAGCCCAAATAATCTCCCAAATTATTCTATTCCACAAATATGTAAAGATCTATGCTGATTTGTTTTATCTATATTTTTGTTGTTGTTGTTGAAAAGCAGGTTTTGGCATTTTCTTTCTTTATTGTAAGAATCTTTTTGTCTATGAATTGTGCTGACTTTTTGTCATACCTTTAAAGTATGATACCAAGTGTATTAAGTATTGTTTCTCTGTAATCATTTTGTTACAAAATAATTTTCTTTGTACCTGCGATCGAACTCACGATCACACACTTGCAAGGCAGGCACTTAGGCCGCTGAGCTAAATCCCTGTCCCTAATAATTTTATTTTTATAGAACAATGATCTTCATCTTTTTTTATCAACTTCTAATTGTATTACATTAAAATTTAAAAACCACAAGGAAAGAAAAAACTGTATTCAAACAGTCATTCTGTTACGTGCATTTTCTAAAGATAATGTACATTATCGATTTTAATTTCCGACTAATCTTTGTTTGAAATTCTACAATTTATCACTATTTTGTCTTGTGGGTGGGTGATGTCACTGTTTGGAAGAGGCAAAAGTGTTCAATCAGTAAATAAATCAGAAAGGGTTTGCTTATAACTCTTAAAATACGAAATTTGAATGGATGGATGGATGAATGAATGCACGCACGCCAACCCTTGAGCTACTAGGTAGGAATGGGAATCCTCCAGTCCCCAGTGAGAAAGGTCCTGTCAATCAGGACTCAAGGGGCTGGGTCACTAGCCAATCAGCTCTCAGAATAGGGCGATGTGAGCCGTCCAATGAGCAGCACTATTCTTCCGGGGGTCGCGAGGCTCCCGGAAGTTGTTTTCCGGTCGGGGTGTTTGATAGCGGTGCCTGGGGCTGAGGGTCGCAGCTGCCTCTTCCCCGCTCGCTGTGTGACCCCTGAGAGCTGCAGGACCCTTGGCTGGGACCCCGGGTCACCCCGGAAGCTGAGAATGGTGAGCAGGGAGCGGGGCGTCCGGCGGCGGGGACGAGGGGCTACGCTGCGGCTGCAGCCGGGACCCGGGTCCTGCGGGCTCCGAGCGGCTGCTGGGGCTCGGCCCGGAGCCTCCGCGTGGGTTCGCGCTCTGCCGCGTGGGCTCCCTGCTCCCTGCTTGCGCTGCTTTCTCCTCTCTGGGCTCCGTTTCTCCTGCATGTTTGGGATTCAAGGAAGGAGCAACTCATTCCCTCGCTGTCACAGTGCGTCTGACAGATGGCGCCCCTTGCCAAAAAAAATCCTGAATTTCCAGGCGCACCAGTCTCACTGAAAAAGGGGAACCCTGTACCCTGTAATAGGAAGTTTGAGCGGAAGCGGGATCGTGTGGCTCTCTTTGACCTGATTGTTTTCGCACGGACTGTTTCTATAAACATTGTGTTAAAAAACCAAGTGCTTCTTGGGGGGGTTGATGAGTTTGCTGTATTTGGAAGGAGTATTGCAGACTTCAGGGATCTCGGGTTGGGCGGGAGACTTTATTTTCCATTGGAGGAGCGAAGGAGTAGAAGGGAACAGGAAGAGGGGCTGGGAAGGAGGAAAAGTCAGGTCCGTGTCCGCAGAAGGTTTTCCCCTGAGGTTGGGTCCTTAGCCTGTACTCAGTGTGACTGCGACAGGGAGTTTGTGTGCTGGATCCCCGGCCTCTAGGAAGAAAGGCAGTTTAGCAAATTCCTCTCGCACCTCTGTACTGATTAGTTTGACTGATCATATTTTAGGCAAAAAAAAAAAAAAAAAAATAGATTGTGCGGTGTGTTTGCCTCGTCGGTGATTAACAAAGGAGGGAACAGTGTCCGTTTGCAGTAAGCTGTTCCTCAAAAATAGAAATAGGGCTTGGGAGCTCTTGAATCATCTAGTTAGCAGGCTTATGGCATTTGCATGAGATCAACATCTTTATTCGTTTGCCTTTATGCCCACCGAGTTGGTCTACTTATGCCCACGAAGGAAATTTGAGAAGCGCAGTCTCAGAAAGCCGCCTTTGTGTTGCCTCTGGAGGAAAGTTTGTATTTGAGAGTTGAGGTAGATGTGTGGTGTTTTTTTTAAAAAATGAAACTTTGGTCCTGTGTGAGACTCAGATCCTCTAAAATTCTTGGGAATTTCTTATTAATGGCAGTGTCTTCGATTGGTTATCATAGTGCCTTTAAATCAGACAATATCTGATTTAATGTAACTGGATAGGTAACTCTAGGGTGCCACCCCTGCAGATTAAAGAAAGGCGCCGGGCGTGGTGGCACGCACCAGTAGTCCCAGCTACTCGGGAGGCTGAGGTGGGAGGATTGCTTGAGTCCAGGAGTTCTGGGCTGCAGTGCACTATGCTGATAGGGTGTCCGCACTAAGTTCGACATCAATACGGTGACCTCCCGGGATCGGGGGAACAACAGGTTGCCTAAGGAGGGATGAACTAGCCCAGGTAGGAAACAAAGCGGGTCAAAACTCCCATGCTGATCAGATTTCAGAAAGGGGACTGATGACCACACTGGCAAGCAGACCTTGAAGTGGTATCTATGCTGGGGACACCAGTGTGAAGAGAGGGAGTCCTGAATCATTGAGATCTTGGTCTGTCTAGGTAGTGTCAGAGTTGAATTATGAGACAGCCAGTAGGTGTTGGAGAATTGCTTGGTGATCAGCCAGTTCCATACATTTTGTGTCACTTGTGACATGAAAAAAACACAGCAGTGGTGAGAACCTTGTACTGACCCTGAGTGGTGTGTTTGTTAGCTGATGTGCATTAAGCTTGCAGGGGAAGGAGCTTTGCATGATGGGAGAAATGGAAGAGGGCTGTGTGGAGGGCCCAGAGGGACATTTCCCGGTTGTTCAGCTCCCTGTCCCCCTGGGGAGGATCCGTTGTGGGCTGCATCTGCCTATAGAGAGTGGTCTCTAAGCCAGGAAGGTGTTTGACCTCCTGAGTGCACATTCCATGTGACTCGCAGGTTAAACGGGCTGGCACCCAGGACGACCTCCCTTCTGTTTCCCCAGCTGACGTCTTCTCCCTATAAAATGCCATTTTACGCCAACATTTCCAGGTTTTGACTTGATGGTGTAAGTTACAGGTTATGATTTTCTTGGTAAATGTGGAATGGATACAGTGATAAAAGGCTAAAGAAGGAAAAATAATTCGTGTAATAAATCATTAATTTTTTTCATGCTGTGTTGAAACAATATTAAAAAGCATAGAATCAGCACAACATTCCTCATGTAATAACCGAGTTCTGTTCCTGAGGCTGGGTCCATGGTGCATTGGTGGACTGTACATTACAGTATGTGCATTACAATATTCAGAGCAGGGGCTGGGGATTTTGCTCAGCAGCATAAGCACCTGCCTTGCAAGCAGGCAGTCGTGAGTTAGATCCCCAGTACCGATAAAAAGGAAAAAGACCAAAAAAAAGACAATATTCAGAGCAAAGAAAAGGCAAGAGGAAGCTCCAGCTCCATGACTGCTTTTATTTGCATAACTCTTCCATGAGTACCATAACATAGAACAGAACAGAAACTGCAGTGCTATAAGATACAGTATAATCAGCAAACCTGCCAAAAAATGATGCTGGGATCCAGTGCTCACAGTGCGATCTGGAAATTGCCTAATGATATGTAGCGGTGGTCTCTTGGGGAATTAGGGTTAGAAAAGTTGTGTGCATGGGTTCAGCATCAGGGAGTCCTGGTAGTGTGTAGGGAAGGGGAGGGAGAGTCGGCACAGACTCACCGCCTGCCTCTGGCCATGTGAACCCATGTGACCTGGTTCCCTACCAGGAGGGAGGCTGTCATAGATGCAGCTCTTAAATGCTCGTCTAAAGGGGGACGCCAGATACACTGTTCTTAGAATGAATGCAGGATGCACGATTGTGTTATGGACCTGGACCGTTAACACTTTATAATAATTATTTCATGAATACAAGAGCCTTAGGGCTGGGGATGTAGCTCAGGGGCACAGCGCCTGCTGGCACCTGTGAGATCCTGAGTTCCAAAAAAAAAAGTCTGCTACAACAACCTTTCGCAAAGTAACGGCCCTGTTTTATATACCACCAGCAATGTGTGACTTCCAGTATGTGAGGAAGATCTGGATTAGAAACAAAAAGATAAATTTGAAGTAAGCATCAATGCAGTGTACATAGTAGAACTGTAAACGTTACGTTCTCAGAGCGTTAGGAGGGTGAGAACCAGGGAGGCTGCGGGTGGATGTCACCAAAGTGGCTGTGTGGACCCTGTGTGAGTCTGCCTCAGGAGACGCACCAAAGAGTGTTGTCTTCTAGTACTGTCGTGTGTGCTGATACTTGAGCTGAGCTAAATTGGATTCCACGGAAGTCAGGCATCACTAATCCCTGGAGGCAGTAAATGGATAAACTAAGTTGCTTCTAGTGAAGAAATGAATATAGAAGTTTTGGTATTTTTTTGTTTTTATTTTTTATTGTTTGCATTACACAATGACTACATTATGGGTGTGAGTGTGTCACTGTAACATGGCATCTTTAACGCCTTAGGAAGGGAGTATCTGGACCAGATCGCATGGGATTTAATTTTACCTCTGTAAGGAATCTCTGTACTGATTTCTATAGTGGTTGTACCTGTTCTCGTTCCCAGCAGCAGTGTAAAAAAGCTTCTTTCACAAAAGCCTCTCCTGTTCTTCCTATGTGATTATGCGAAGATCTTTCTAGAGCAAAACACAGTTTCAGTGGTATTTTCTTTTGCATTTTTCCACTGGCTGGGTGATGTTGAACACGCCTTCAACTATAAGTTGGCCATTTGTACCACCTTTTCTTCGGTGAATCATCCATTTATTCCAGTAACCCTTGGTTTTACTGAGTTATAGTTCAAGGGGTCTCATTTTTGTGTATTGGTCCTCTGTCAGGTCTTGGTACTGTTTCCTGCGCTGTGGGGGTTGCATTCACAATGTCCTTCCCTATTTGTAGGTTCTCAAGAGGTTATTTTATTGTCAGGCAGATTGTTTCTATTTTAACTATTGTAAGCAGTAGACCTCGGATTATTGCTTTTTAGTGTAGTGCACGGTGAGACGTAGGGGCATAGACTCAGTCTTCATGTGAAGGTCTAATTTCCCCAGCTCCGAGTATCTAAGAGTCTGTCTTTCCTCCAGGGCATGGTTTTGATCCCTGTGTCAAAAATCAAATATCCAGATGTGTGAGATTGTCCCTGGATATTCCATTCTGTTGTGTTGATCCGTACGTGTTTTTTTTTTTTTTTTTTTTTTTTAATCACTGTGGCTTTGTAGTTTCCGGTGACAGAGTGTCTGCGCGCTGTGAACCCGCCCTGCCATCTGACTGCTGCTGGCTCTGGGTTCCTGGTGGCTGCCGAGCTGTAGCCATGACCCATGTCCCTCACTCAGGACAGACAGACATGAATAGAGTTCTCCTGAATAGAGTTCTTCATTGAAATCATTCATCATGAAGTGGATTTAGAAAAGAATAATTAGAAAGTTAAAAGTCTTCAGTAATTATGGCCGGCATCCTAACAAACGTCCCTAGTAGACCTTCGGCAGGTACAGTCTGCGGGGGGATTTCACCAGCCAGAGCCCTCTCTTGCCTCCTGGGTCACCACACTCCTGACTTCCTTTGCACGTGACCTTTTTTTTGTTGTTGTTAAGTGTTATTCTTTCCGTTTTGACCCCCTGGAACTTTCAGCCTGTATTGTATTAAAGGAATCTTAAGGGACACGTACCGGATAGATTGCTTGGCTGAGTATATTTTATTTGTGTCCCATATACGAGGCACAGAAAACCTGTTTGCTCACCTCTTTCCGTGGTCACAGTCTCACATTTTTTGCAAGCTTGTATTACAGTGCTGCAGAAGTAGTTGGTGTGTTTTGCACTACAAATGCACAGATCACCTTGTGACAGTAGAGAAGAGCAGGTGGGTGGATCACATTCAGATTCCAGCAAGATGACGAGGAAGAGGGTCACATTCACTGACCCCTCGTTCACACAAAGTATTTTGTTTCCTCTGGTCTTTCTTACTTGTGACTTAAATTTTTCAACCGTGGGTGTATCTTGTTTTCTGTATCGTGTTTTGAGCTAGGTATGCATTTCCTCGTTTTCAGTCACCTGCTTTTTACAGTTGTGCTCTGCAAACTGATCTTTTTCTTTCACACGAACTCCAGCTAATTTTCATTTTGGCTCTTGACTCCCTTAATTTTTCATGTGCTAAATTTCACCATCCATTTCCTTGAGGAAATTACTTTTATTTAAAGATCACATTGCCGACTCTTGAAGAATTCAAGCATCTTTTTTTACCCTCAATAATTGTTTCACCTCATAATTTGTAGTGAGGCTTTTTTTTTTTTTTTTTCTTGTGCCAATACTCAAACTTAGTACCTGGGCTTGCCAGGCAGGCACCGTGCCACTGAGCTGTAACCCTCCCCTCCTCAAGCTATCATCTGTTGTCTGTCGAACAGATGAAACTGACAACAGGGAAAGTGGGTTTCTATTGTCAGTGTTGTGGAACGTCTCCCTTGTCACCAGGCAGTTTTTTGTTTACTTGTCAGCTCACTGGTAAACGATTTCCTTTCCTTGGATCTGTTTTTTTTTTTCCCGATCTGTGTCAATAATACAGTTTGCAGAATGTGTTTTTCTTTTTTTCTTTTTTTTTAGAATGTGTATTTCTTAAGTTTTGTGGCTATTAAGGAATATGCTCTTTTTTTATTCTTAATATTTTAAATGTTGGATGACATTTATTATGCCCACTACATGTAGCTTTTCTTGTCTAGTTAAAGACGTGTTCTACAAACTGTAGAGTTTATCAGTTTGCACGATAGAAGACCTCTTAGGGATCTGAGCTCTTTCTAAGAACAGACACCATCCTCCCGGTTCAGTGCTCCTTGCCAGTGGATTAGTGAATTACCTTCCATTACTCTCGTTACTTAATTATAAATTAGCTTTAGAGACACCAATCAGAAGCCTGCAGAAGGTGTCTCTCAGTGCAGTCACAGAGGCTGTGTTCAATTCCCTGAGGAGCAAATCACGAGGAGGTTTTAAATGACATCTGTCAAACCCACCTGTTACGGATGCACCCCAGGGATGGTGATAAGCCATGCCCCCCTTTAGCGGGACTCGTTAGTGAAGTCCACCCCGGGGCCAGCTCTGAGAATGTGCTGTTTGATGTTTGCTCCCTCCAGAGCGCTCGGCAGCAGGAAATTGTCACATAGATCCCTTGTACCGAGAGAGGTTGGCATGGGCCACGCGGTTCACCCACACACTGCTAGAGTTACTCCGTGAGAGGGTGGGCATGTGGAGAATGAGAACGCGGTGACCCAGGTGGCCAGTAGACACGCGGGAGGAGACAGAGAGGTGAAGTGACATCAGATCGAATGTCACTGTTACCCAGATGTTTGTGTGGCCATTGCAGGAGGCAGTGACCTTGAAGGACGTGGCCGTGAGCTTCACCCCGGAGGAGTGGGCGCTGCTGGCTCCAGCTCAGAAGCAGCTGCACAGCGACGTGATGTGGGAGACCCTGAGGAACCTGGTTGCCGTGGGTAAAGGAAACCACCTTCCCTAGGGCATCGGAACAAGTGTGTCTGGCTCATCGGCACATTTCCATTTTGGAAAATGGAACTAGTGATCTTTAGAGAAGTATCCAGGCATCATCATGTAATGCAATGAATCAGCTAGCCTCTGATGGTTAATTATTGCTAATGATCTTTCTGGCTTCACATTTCAGAAGGAAGACGTGAAGACCCAGGCATTGGAGAGGAGTGCCAAGGGCAGAGGAAGAATCTAAAGTAAGTTTTTCTCTCATAAAGATTGCATTAGGAAAAATTTCAACATTACAGTAAAGTTCACAACTACTTAAATGAGTTTATTCATTTACTCTTAGCTAAGATTAGGGTCAAGAAATAACTGCACATGAAGAAATAGTTTTGAAACAGGGCACTGTAATTCGGGGAACTGTTCCAACTTCGGCCTTCCTGCTGATCTCGTGTTTTTCTCTTTATGTACGTGTATACATGTATCGCTGCTGGGCGAGCATTTCACGCTAGAGAAGCCGTGTGGTCTTTGAACTGGTCCCTTAGGGTATACTCTCATGTTGCTCCACTTACTTGCACGTGCCTCACATTCATCTTTCTTTGTGGTGCAGACATTTTCCTCACTTTAACTCTTTTGGGGAAACACTTCCTCAGGAACACTGGGAGTGTCTTGTAGGATCGCCACCCTGGTTTCCGTAGTGGTTGCGCTGGCTTACATCCCACTGGCAGAACAGAGCAGCTCTCCTCCCCATACCCACGCTGGCATCTCTCATTACCAGATGTATTGATCATAGCCACTTTTGAGAGGGACTCAGTGTAGCCTTGATTTGCGTCTCTCTGACAGCCAGTGTCGACGAGCAATGTTTCATGTATTATTGACCATTCGTACTTCTTAGAGCTGTCTGTTCATTTCCGTTGCCTGTCTTTTGATTGGGTCTTTTATTTTGGAGAGGTCTGATTTGTTTTAAGGTTCGTCATGTATTCTAGATATTAGCTCTTTATCCCCGGAGGAGATGGTAAAGTTTCCCATCCTGTAGATTGTCTCTTCACTCCACTGGTGTTTCCTGTGTGTTAAGTGTGTTTCTTCTATGCACCATCACTGGAGTTTGTTTCTTGGTCCACTCTGCTGAGCTGTGCTTTTTGATTGGTGAGTGGAGTCCATTTTCATTTGTAGTTATAATCAGTAGATGTTCACCTATCCCTGTCATTGGGTTAATTTCCTGCTACTCCTTCGCTGTCTTTTCCTTCTACATGGTTACTAACCCTGCCTGATGTATTCATTTTACTGCACCTTTTGGCATGGTTAGGTTCATTGTCTGTTATGATTTGTGTTTAAAGGTCTCCCCAAGCCTCATGCAGTCATGGGCGGGGAGGGTTTCTGCAGGCAGCTGCGTCTGCTGTTTGATTGGCTCATCGTCGAGTGATGCTCCCGCCCAGGAACAGGGAGCTGGCCTATAACACACAGGAGGGCAGGAGGCCCTTAGGTTTTGTGGCTTCTGGTATCTGCCGCAGCCACCATGTTACCCCTCAGGCACCCCAGCCTGACTTGGAGTCAGATTATGAACTGAAGCCTTCAAAAACTGAGCTAAATAAACCTTTCGTTCATTTTGGGCAGTATTTTGTCTCAGCAATGAGAGAAAAGTAGCTAAGACATTGTCCCTTAGGATATCCTTGAGAGTTTTTTGGAGTGTTGGTTTGATAGTCACAAATTTGTTCTCTTTTTCATGGAAGTATCCTACTTTTTTGTTATTTTTGTTTTGTTTTGTTTTTTGCTTTGGGGATTTTTTTGTTTTTGTTTTGTCTTTTTTGAGAAAGGGTTTCACTATGCAGTTCAGGTTGGCCTTGGACTCACTTTGTAGCCCAGGCTGGCCTCAAACTCATGCAGGCCTCCTGCCTCAGCCTCCCGAGTGCTGAGATGACAGGTGTGTGCCACCACGCCGAGCTGCTGAACTTTCTTCTAGATTCCCATTCCATTCTACATTAGGCATTCATGTTTTATATCTTTCCTTAGTGCCACTAACACAAAAAGTTTAGTTTATTAGTGTCTTTCATAGATTTGTTGATATTTGTTTCTTTTTGGTCTTGTGTGATAGGTTGTATCTTCTTGAAATTCATCAAGTACCTACTGAAGTGTTCAAACTCCACTGCTACCCTTTCTGATCTCCCTGCTGTGTGGCTTATGGTTTCCTCCTCCTTGATGCCTCTAAGCCAGTTCTCGATGAAATTTGCATTCTTGTGTCTTCGCATTTCTCTATGCTGCTTTGGCTGTAGTACAGTACAAAGTTAGCTTTCATGTCTCAGTAATCAGTCAGTGAGAAATACCTTACCTTCCGGCTGCTGCGTAGTATGAAGAGGACTATGATTTTAGTAAAGACAATTAGGCAACTATTATATCGACCTACAGTGATTCAGACTGCCAATTTCTGCAGGATGCAGGCAGCAGGACCAGCCCAAACTTAACTGCTAGACTTAATCCTCTCTGCTTTAGGACTGCGCCTTTGATATTTACCCCCCAAACCTCCCATAGCATAATTACAAGCCTCCATGACCTTCCTGGTCTTACCTGGGCCTCCCAGCCGAGCCTCATAAATCCCTGTTTGCAGTCACAGTCTCCAGCCTTATCCCCAGCTCTGTCTCCCACCCCGTCCCTGGGGTAGGGCATCACCTCAGCGCTGTAGCCAAAGTCTCCCGGGTGTTGATTCTTCTTGGGTCAGGTCAGTCTGTCGCTGGTCTCTGCTCCTGTCCTGTGAGGATACCAGACCTGGGTGGAGGGCATGCAGCTCCTGGGTCCTCCTGACTCTACATGGTACCTTGGCATGGACATTGGCACTGGCTGGGGGGCAGAGTCCCTAGTTCCAGGTCCTCCCTGCTCCAGTGTGGGGTGTGGGCGCGAGGTAACATGTATGCGAAACACTGTCCTTCACAAGTCTTGGAATTTCAGCAAATCTTAGAAACAGATAAATAATAGAAACAAAACCAGCTTCGATTTGATTTAATCAATGGAAACTTTTTAGAAATGAAATATAAAGTAAACATCTATATGTGGCAACTGAAATGTGCTATCTTTGATACTTCTGTACACTGACATGGTGCTATAAGTAACGGTTTCTTTTCTTTTTCTCTTTTTGGGGGGCGTGGAGGTGGGATTTTAGTTAGAGTCTTGCTGTGTATAGTGCAGGCTGATCTTCAATCATGGTGATCCTCCTGCTTCAGCCTAGCAAGTGATGGGATTACAGGCCTGAGCCACCATACCTAGCTTTAAGTGACAGTTTCTGATGGTTGAATATTTACAGATTTTGCTTCATATACAGAGTTATTAAAATGTTATGTGAAATTACAATCAGGGTCTCAATACAAGATAAATGTGATAAAAATGAATTTTTTATTCACATTTAAACCAGTATTCATAGTAATGTTTTAATGTGTAGGTATTTTGAAATCAGCATGGTTTTGGTTCTTAGAATTTATCAGCAGTACTCCAGTATCTACAAAAGAGACTTTGAAATTCAGTGTTTGCCAAACATCTAATGCAGATGACAACATCAGTGCTTGAGTAATTCTGCAGATCAGTAAGTCCACATGTATGCAAAAACTGTTACAGAGCATAAAATCAACACTTGTAGTAAATCATGAATATCCAAAATTTTATTCATGTTTTTTTTTTAATAGAAATCAAGTAATAGGAAAACTTCGTGAATATAGCAGAAGCAGTCAGTGCGGTGAAAACTTCAACCAGACACCAGAGCATGTGGTAAAGAAGAAAGCTCCCCCTGGAGTTCCACCGTCCGAAGGCTGCTTTTTGGGAGAGGCCCACATTAGTTTCTCACCCCATGAGCTGACCCTTAAGGGTCACACTTATTTCAGACTTCATGAGAATCAAGAGAGCCCTTATCACCGTAAGGAAAGTGGGAAAACCTTCAGTTATCCCCAAGACTTTCAGAAGACTGAAAGAATTCAAATTGGAGAGGAACTCCATGAGTGTAGGCAACATGGGAATGACTTTACTTACTACAGTGTACTGCAAAGACCTAAAAGAATTCACAGTGGAAGGAAATGCCGTGTATGTAAGCACTGTGGGAAGATCTGTAGAAGTTACAGCTCCCTTCAAATACATGAAAGGATTCACACTGGAGAGAAACCGTATGTGTGTAAGCACTGTGGGAAAGCTTTCAGCCGTTCAGGTGGCCTTCAGACACATGAAAGAACTCACACTGGAGTGAAACCCTATGTGTGCAGGCAGTGTGGGAAAGCCTTCTCACACCAGAGCTCCCTTCAGTACCATGAACGGGCTCACCGTGGAGAGAAACCCTACGTGTGTAACTACTGTGGCAAGGGTTTTGTGTGTTCCGGTGCCTTTCGAATACATGAAAGGATTCACACTGGAGAGAAGCCTTACATTTGTATAGAATGTGAAAAGCTTTTCTTGTCTTACAGTGCCCTTCAACAACATAAGAAAGTTCATACTGGGGAAAAACCATGTGTCTGTAAGCAGTGTGGGAAAGCCTTCCTTTGGGCAAAAAATCTTCAGAGACATACAAAACTCCACTCTGCAGAGAAATTATATGAGTGTAAACAGTGTGGTAAAGCCTTCCGTTGGGAAAATAGTCTTCAGAGACATGCCAAGCTTCACTCTGGAGAGAAACTATATGAATGTAAGCAGTGTGGTAAAGCCTTCCGTTGGGAACGTGACATTCAAAGACATGAGAAAGTTCACATGGGAGAGAAATTACCTGAGTGTGAGCAGTGTGGGAAATCCTTCCTTTGGGAAAGTGCTTTTCACAGACATAAGAGAGTTCACAGTGAAGAAAAACCATATCAGTGTAAGCAATGTGGGAAATCCTTCCTTTGGGAAAGTGCTTTTCATAGACATAAAAGAGTTCACAGTGAAGAAAAACCGTATGAGTGTAAGCAGTGTGGGAAAGTCTTCCGTTGGAAACGAGGTTTTGACAGACATAAAAGAGTTCACACTGAAGAGAGGCCTTACAAGTGTAAGCAGTGTGGGAAAGCCTTCCGTTGGGAAAATAATTTTCAAAGACATAAAAAAGTTCACAGTGGAGAGAAATCATATGAATGTAAGCAATGTGGGAAAACCTTTCTTTGGGAAAGTAGTTTTCAACAACATAAAAAACTTCACAGTGGAGAGAAACTGTACAAGTGTAAGGAATGTGGGAAAGCCTTCCTTTGGGAAAGGAGTCTTCATAGACATAAAAAAGTGCACAGTGGAAATAAACTATATGAAGTAAGCAGTGTAGGAGAGCTTTCTCTTGTCCTGCTAGTCACTTAAAAAGCCATTAAAAGTGCTAGAGATACAGCTCAGCAGCACAGCCCCTGCCTGGCAAGCACAAGGTCCTGAGTTCAATTCCCATTACCAAAAACAATTAAAAACCTCACAATGAAGACTAAGCTGAGCAATCTGGAAAGTCGTGCAGATTGCCCATTCCTCTAATACATGTGATCACTCACTGGAAAGAAACCATCTGCGTTTGCCATGTGTGAAAGCCTGTAATTGTCATACTTGTTTTTACAGAGGAGCTCATAGCTAAGAGTAATCCCAGATAAACCGTGAGAAGGCCTCATGTTCAGAATACTTTTCTTGTGTTCGTGGGGCTGCACAGGAGAGGCCTTCTATTAATACAAAGCATGTGGGAATGCCTTTACTCACCTTACCTGAGCCACAGCTGTAACGTGTTAGTGAAAAACCGTGACGTGAAGAAATGTGCCGAAGTATTTAGCATGTGTTTGGATGCACACTGGCTCCAAACCTTGTAATTGTGAAAAAAAGAGTTGTCAGTTGTGAAAAGTTGTGTTAAAGTCATATGAAAATTCCTGATACAGGAGAGTCCTATAAAAGTGACAGAGTTCTATGCAAAGTAATCCGTGTGGCATGCTTTAGAAAGCACACGGTGAGCAACACTTGCTGAGACTCTCATTGCATATGTAAAATGATCCATTTTTAATAGAGGCCTGTGGGGTACATGTTTCAAATTGTGCTTCTAGATGTCACACAGACCAGCGAGATGCCTCCCTGTGGTGCTGCTACTGGGGAAGGAGAGGTGGGAGATCAGTGGAGCCCACTAGTTAGGTGCAGAATTCCAGCTTGTTAAATAGAAACAGCAACATTGCCCGGCGTGGAAGCACTTGGGAGGCTGAGGCAGGAGAATGGATATGAGCTCGACACCAGCCTGCGCTACAAAGTGAACTCGGGGCCAGCCTGAACTGCACATCGAGACCCTGCCTCAAAGACAGAAAACAAAAATGAAAGCAAAATATCATTAGTGCATTAAGGTGAAAGTATTCTGAAAGTTCAAAAAAATGCATGATTTTGGAAAATGAACCAATAAACTTTGTCTTGACTTGACATTTTGAACTGTTTTGCATTCATGGGCAAATTGAAACCTCTTCAATGTGCTGCATCCTGGAGATGAACAAATGTCTTCTTTCTCCATCTAGAAGAGAGCTCTATATTCTCAATACAGATTCACTGTCTAACTGCTGAGCATCTCTGATACGGAGTCATTAGTATGCAGTGTTTTCCCATTGTACTTTATATGCAAATATCTCAAAACCTTACACAGGGGTTGTAATTTGTCTTTTGCTCACACAAAAGATGTATTAGGCCAAGTACTTATCAGAGACCACCTGGACTACAGCTTTGTTACATGATGTGTAAGGGTTATAATAAGCCTGTGCACTCCCCACATCTGACTGTACAGCACTGACCACGGGCTTTGTGACAGGTGCAGTTTTAGGATGTTCGCTGCTGCTCACTGGTACAGCGTTCCCCTCAGTCGGATGTACTGAGCAGTGAACACTCTCTGTAATGGTTTTCATCCACAAGTTTCCATTCAGTGCACCACTCTAGGAAATGTAAAATCTTTGTGTAACTTGCATCAGATGTTATCACTAGCATAAGATTGGACAGAATCCTATACTGTGATGTGTATTTTAGAGTTAAGTGTTTTGTCATAGTTTATTGCACATAATCAGCTCCAGGGTGTTTAATTTTCACACCAAGTCTACGATGTTCCTCGTATCAGTTATAAATAAAAATCCAGCTATTCCTTGACATGCCTGTATTACTTTCAGGCTCTTCTGTGAGTCAGAGGAGCCATATGACACAGTATCTTAGCAGAGTTGAGCCTAGGAAAGAACACAGATCATCCCTATCGAGTGAAGCTCTGCTTTGGAGAATATGCTTCGCACGTTAATTATGGCAGGCCTTACCCATGGCGGTGCTGTAGACCACAGTGCAGAGTTTAACACAAGTAACCCAAGCGGTCAGTGATGGATAGAAAGGCAGGAGACATCAAACCCTCGAAATGCTGACCCTGTGTTTGTGAGACTCCACATAGCTAGAAAATGGCACTGTGTGTATAAGGGGAAAGAAGGGCTGCAGTGGGCAGTGCATAGGAACTTTAGTAAGCATTAGAGTTTTAAGTCTGTATGGAAACCCAAAGTGCAGCGTCCCCTAGCAGGCACAAGGTCCCAAGTTCGATTCCCATTACTGGAGAGGAAAACACCAGGTGTGTAAGGATGTCATCCCAGCCATTTTTGCTCCCACATGTAGGGACTCCTTAGCTTTGTCTCACTGTTTGCTCAAGTGTGAATGTTCACAGGGAAGACGGGCCTTGGTGTGTACCACCATGGTTCGCATACACCGTTCTTAATTTTGCAGTGCTTGAGAGTTGTTTTTGTTTGGGCTTAAGATGTGAATTCAAGTTTGGAGATAAAGCTATACATATGTATCAGGCAGCAAATGTGTAAATTTCTTGGAAAGATGTAAAGGAAACATCTTCCTTTTAGAGGGGTGGCCATCTAAGGGACAACTTGCCCAGGAGAGGCTGCACAGGTGCAGTGGAGACTGCTGGCGGCAGTGGGTGACCTGTGGGACACGTCAGCATGGAAGCCCTGAGCTACCCTGTGCTGAACTGCTGTCTTCATCGGGCACGAACTGAAACAAGAAAAGCAGGATCAAAAGCAAGAGGGGTCTGTGGGAGAGGCCAAGTGCTCTGCTCCTGCCTGCCCTTCCCAGGAGCCCCACTGCAGGGCAGGCAGGACTGTCACCCAAAGCCCAGGCAGGAGGGCGCCACCTTAGGGTGCGTGCTCACACACACACACACTCACTCCCTTGTAGCTCAGAATCAGCCGAGACTAAAACTAGACCTTTGACCAAGATTGGAGCAGTTTCCTGTTAAGATTCAATGGAAGTAGAACACAACTTTTCTCAAGGACCCTTCTTACTAATTAGTGCCCCATCAAACAGTAGTTTAGCACATGAGAACAGGCAACTTTTCCCTTGCTGCAGTCTGCACTAAAAGTAACCCTAGGAAACTCGGCTGCTCACCGGCAGCCCTGCCAAGCTGGTCTACATGCTGGCCTTTCTCTGACACGAGATGGACACTACTCTTGCATCTGCCCTGAAACATCACGAAACAGTGGTGCTGATTAATACTCACCGAGTCAGGGCTACTGGGACGTAATTAGGAAGAGGGAAGGAGGGGGAGAGGAAACAGTGGGGAAGGGGAGAGGATGGAAGAAAGGCGTGGAGGGTGGGAAGGAGCCACGGGAGGGTGAACAGGAGGAAGGTGAGAAAGGAGACAGCACAAGAGGAAGAAGAGGGAAGAGGCAGCATGGAAGGGAGGAAATGGGGCGAGGACCGCGGAGCCCGGGCTTGGCCCCAGCACCCCCGCCACAACCGATGCCCGGGGCGCCGCCTCTGCCTCATGGGTCCCTCGTCATCTTTTTCCTGGCATGAAGATGATGAAAATAAAGGCCACTTAGGGGCCTGGGGTGACAGGGCAGCAGTGCAGGGCTGTCACGGGGTGGCGGGTGGGGATGCACCTGTGGAAAAGGTCTCCTTACTGCTTCGGACAGCGCTGTGTTCATGCAGGGCACAGAAATGCCAAAGGCAGTCATCACAGCTACAGGCACGCATCCGAGCAGCATCATTCCAGATGCCGGGGTGGTTACCGCTCCGGGACGGAGATGGGACCTGCAGCAGCCCCTGGTTTGCTGGAGCAGGGCTGCATTCTGCTTCTTAACCCCAAGTGTGGTCACTTGGGGCTCACTGGCAAGTAAGCAGGGTTTGGTGGCACCTCCCTGTAATCAGAGCTACTCAGGAGGCACAGACAGGAGAATTGAAAGCTCTAGGCCAGGGTTAGCAACTTAGATTCTGTCTCAAAATAAATACATAAATACATAAATAACCAAGGGCTGGAGATCTTCAGTGCTACAGGGCTCGCACGCCATGCACAAGACCCCAGCTTAATCCCCAGCACGGCACACATGCTGAAAAGCACATTTCCCTTGGAGCGCGCAGGCAGACAGCTTTCATCCCAGGCCCTCCGAAGGCGGATGTGTGACTGTCACCTGAGCCACAAAGTTTGAGTCATGGACTCCTAACACCATAAAACTGCCTGAAGAAAACAGTACAGAGTTGGCGTAACCACGCTCATCACAGCTGTCTTACACACAAACCATGACAACGACCCCACCAGACACCGAGGATGCGTGGATAAATGAACTCTGGGACATCTGGGCGGTAGAGTCTCGGAGAGCCAAAAACAGATGAAGGATGCACTGCAGAATCTTGTGGCGGTCACTTCCTGTGTCCCCTTGACTTCCTCCCGGGTGCCCAGATATACGATCACATAGCGTTCAGGGTGTCTCAGTGGGAAGGCTTAGCGGCTTAACATCTAGGAGTAAAGTTTCCTGTTCCCTGCAGATGATGGTGTTCATCACACTTAGGTGACAAAATCCCTCAGAAATACAGCTTCCAGGAGGTTGCTCCATTGCTTTGAATCCCATGAGGAAGAAACATCACTGGAAGGGCACGACACAGGGACGCTGCCCACGTCACGGAGGACAGGAGGAAGAGGAGGCAAAGGGACGGAAGACGACAAAAGGGGGAGCCGAGTGGAGACACCCCCCCCCCGAATAAGGACATTACCACTGAACAGGCCGGGGCACCGATAAACAGATCCTGGGCGGACGGTACAATCACGCACACGTGACCCTTCCGGGTTGTGCATCAAACTCCACATTCCTAAAACGTTAACTCTCCGGGGGCTCCCGACCTTCAGCTTCAGACCAGGATGCGTCCCTGCTCCCTTTGGTTTCGCCGTGTTCACACGAAGCACAGGAACAGCCAGGTCGCCTGACTCCAGCCCCCAAGATTCCCAGCTGCTTAGAATGAGCGGCTACTGGCTTCTCGTCCTCTACTGCAGGCTACTAGGGGACTACTCTTCATCTCACGGTGACGGTCACCTCAAACATTTCCTCACATTTTTATTCAACTGACTTTATTCTTTGGACCCTGAATAACACAGAACTGAAGCACAACCTGAGATTGGCTTCCACTGATCATTCATTTAACCAGATTATGTAGATAGATAAGACACAGATAGATAAAATGTGTTAGTGACCCATTGTGCCTACTGAAACATGAAAACATGATGCCCTACAGACCCCTAAATTAGTTTGCACTTGGTTTCTCTTGCCATGCTAGGATGGAACCCAGGGGTGACACACAGACCTACACCTCTCACCTTTTGGGTTTCTGCTTTCTCTATTTTTCATTTGTCTTTTTTGAGACAGGGTCTCGCTATGCAGTACAGGCTGCCTTGGGCTCACTTTGTAGCCCAGCTGGTCTCAAACTCCTAGATCCTCCTGGATCAGCCTCCTGAGTGCTGGAATTACAGGCATGCACCACCACGCCTGGCTTAGGAGGCTGTTTTAGTTTTATGACCTCACACTAAGATGCTCCTTTTCTGAGTAAGTAAGGCATGAACTTGTGACTTCACAGCCACCCAGAGGGCTGCGATTACAGCTGTGCGCTTTCACCCTGGCGTTTGCTACTACTGTTAAAATAAGTCTTAAGTTCAAGCACCATGTATCAGCACCAATGACACAAAACAGTCCCACAATGGAATTTCATACATCTCCATGCTAAACATTTAAAGAGAATTATCCAAGAGGCTGGACAAAATGAAGGGGATGACTGTTGCCCTCTGAAAACAGTGTGCAAAATTTCCCAGCAATCTAGTTCCTCAACTGAGTATCTGACATCCAAGGTATCCCAGTGCTACCGGCACCCACCGACAGGGCACTCAGAGGAGTGTAGATCCGGAAGTCCTGCCTCTGCCGCTTGTCTGGCTCTCAAAAACACAATGCCAGCAAAATGCATCCGGTAAAAGAAGCCATGGCATTTACTGTACCACTGCATTCAGCAGAGAAGAGCGGTCCTGCTCTGCCCCTCCACAGGCCACAGCCCTCGAGCGTGCATTCAGTTACTGGGCTTTAATTTCCCCTCCTGCCCTTCAGCTCATGTTGCTCCTTCTTCCCTGTTGGTTCTGGTCTTTTCCACAGGGAACAGGGGTTTCCTGAAGTCCTACTGGAACTGAGAGGCTCCCTCACCAATCTCCAAAGAGGAAGAAATCCACCACTACTCAGGAGCTTACGGGAGGCAGAATTTTGGCTCATGACAGGCAATGGAGCACACTCTGGTGGACTTCTGGAGATTTTAAAACCTGAGGTAGTGATGATCAGGTCCACGCCTGAAAACCTACATTAGACATTGTAACTCCATCTACCCAACAGACAACAAGTGAGTCACATTTTTAAGGGAAAAGCTGAAGCTTTAATGGTTTGAGAGTCATTCAAGTAAGGCGTTCCCTGAGAGGAGACAGAGCATGAAATGAACATGTGAAAATAAGGGAGGCAGAGCTAAACAACAAAGCAGAATGTAACTGGATGACCAGGAAGGGACTTAAAATACAACAAGCTGTGTATACTGCAAACATGTGCTGCGAATTTAAGTTAAAAGTAGGTTGTGGTTATCCGAATACATGAGATTAAAAAAGGATTCGTCTGCAAACTAAACATAAATTGCATGCATGATTGAAAAGTCACAAATACATACCTGACTCGTTATACTCTAAGAAAATAGCTTCATTATATTTGTATTATAGCAAATTACCTGTAACATGGCCATACCGTATTTGTTTTCCTTCTCCCTCTGGGTGACCTAATTGATATGTTAATCAATGCTCTTCTCTGTAAAGAATTGCAAAACCTTACCTAATTGATATGTTAACCATTGTTGCCCTCTACACACAACAGATGTGGTGCTAAAACAAGCTAACAGGGGTTGATAATCACTGTTAGACTTCTCTATTCTCTGCTGAGGAAACCAGGATGTTTTCCTAATTTAAACTTGTTTGAAGTAACTTGCTTGTATGCAGGGATACTTGCTTGTTAGCATAACCCTTACCTGACCTTGTTTCCCCCTCCCCAGAAGAAGAAAAAAAAAGTAATCTTGCTGTATTTCTGTTCTGTAATGTGCCGTACTGCCTCCTCTTCCTCCTACCTATCTATCTAGGTTAAGTTTCAAATCCTTGTAAAAACTTAAGTTTCAGTTCTTTGTAAACTTTCGACCCCTTCTCACATGTTAGCGCTAATGAGCTGTCCTGAGATAATTAACTTTCTACTTTCTTCTCCAAATGTTATTGTAGGTGTACTATTCCAAGATAATGCTTATCTGCAGGATGTGAGTAACTTGAAAGGCACCAAAGGCTCCCAATGTTGTCAGAAGTGGACAGCTTTACAGTTTCCAGATTTGGGTCAACAGCTTAACAGCTCTGTGTGTCCCCCACCCCGCCACTTCTCCAGCTTTTAAAATCCCCTTCTCCAGTCTCGGGGTGCACAGTCTCCAAACTGGCTCCCAGAGACTCGTCACCAGGCCTGGCCTAAATAAAGCCTTTGCTCCCCAAATTTAATTTCTTGCTTCCTTAGATTTTATTCTGGGGTCTAAGCTATCACAACTCACACTAAAACATGACAGACAAAACCGTACCACTGGCTGCAAACAGTGGAGTTCTAAGACCACAGTGAACAGGCAAATATCCTGTGAAAATGGGAGATAAGCCGGCACCACCGCCATGGTGCATCCTTCCATCTGAATCTGAAGACACCTACGACCGGCCTCATCCCTGAAGTCCTGAGAGACACACGCATGCATACAGGGCAGTGGCTACAGCTGTGCTTGGAAAAGACCCATCAGCTCTTCATAAGAAAAACCATAGCACACAATCAAAATCTGTGCAGACGGGGGACCAGTTAACACCGTTCACTGTCAGTTTCTGTGAGTGACATGTCAATGAGACACCCAGAGCGGTCCCCAGTATCCTTAGAATGATCCGCATTTGCACCTGGAAACGTGGGCTGTTTCTTGTAGTACTGTAATATGTGCTTGCAAAGAAATGCTGGAGTGTGAGCCCTGGGACAGAGGGGAAACAGTCAGGTCCTTCCCACAGAGCTGCACACAGCATACTGAGGTACAGAAACCGCCCCTCCCTCCCACATACCGTATGGAAGCTCCAAGGGCCCCAAGCTAAAAACACAAAACATCACATACTAACAAGACAAGAGTAGGCAAAAAAAAAAAAAATAAAAATAAAGCAGACAGCAGATACCCACGGGGCAAAAGAACACATCCAGCAAACAAACAAAAAATCAGTGGGACATTTAGCGGGAGTCTCAGTTAAAGGTGAAACCGTTTATTAATTTCAAGCTCATGGGGCTTTAGGTCCAGAGGAAATATGTATCAAGTAAACATGTAAAAGGAATGTAAAGTGTTTTATCACTGTTCCATTAAAAGGAGAAGCAGCAGCTGGCATGGTGGCACCCCTGCAACCTCAGCTACCTCCGACTGTGATTCTTCCATGTCTGCGAAAGGCAGCCAGACAGCTAGCCCTTCCCCGCAGTGTTTTTGCATGCATCAGGGACACCTGAGTAATCCACAGGTTTTCCTACCCTGCTTATCCACAGGCTTAGCCTCTACTGTGAATTTTCTCATGTTTTCTCAACTGACTAGGACGAGAGAAAGCTTTCCCACATTGCTTACACTTGCGTGGTTTCTCCCCACTGTGAAATTTTTTATGTTTTTGGAAACTACTTTCCCAAAGGAAGGCTTTCCCACACTGCTCACACATATATCGTTTCTCTTCATGGTGAAACTGTTCATGTCTTTGAAGACTGGTTTGCCAACGGAAGGCTTTCCTACAATGCTTACATTCGTATTGTTTTCTTCCACTGTGGAGCTCTTTATGGCTTCGAAAACTACTTTGCCAAAAGAAGACTTTCCCACACTGCTCACACTCATATTGACCTTTTCCACTGCGGGTCCCTTCATAACCCTGAAACTCAGGCACAGAGAACTCATCTCCATACTGCTTACATCGGGTGGGCTTTTTCCCATGGCAAACTATTTGATGGTATCGAAGGGAAGCGGCATGAATGTACGCTTTTCCACACTGATCACAAACCTCAGTTTTCTCTCCACTGTGAACCATTTCATGGTATTGGAGAGAACTTGGATGGATGAAGGTTTTCCCACATTGCTTACATGAACGCTGATTATCTGCTGCATGAATTTTCATATGCTTTTTACGGCTACTGGAACAAATGAAACTTTTCTGACATTCTGTACATGTATAAGGCTTCTCTCCAGTGTGAACTCTTTCATGTCTTTTTAAGGTACCAGAACAAATAAAAGCTTTCCCACAATGGCTACATACATAAGGTTTCTCTCCCAGGTGAGCTCTTTCATGGTATCGAAGGGAACTGAGGTCAGTGAAAGCCTTCCCACACTGCTTACACGCGTAGGGTTTCTCTCCAGTGTGAATTCTTTCATGTGTCTGGAGGGAGCTGAACCGAGCAAAGGCTTTCCCACACTGCTTACACACGTAGGGTTTCTCTCCAGTGTGAGTTCTTTCATGTGCCTGAAGGGAACTGAAATGACGAAAGACTTTCCCACAGTGCTTGCACGCGTGGGGTTTCTCTCTAGTGTGAGTTCTTTTGTGTGTCTGAAGGGAGCTGGGCCGAGCAAAGGCTTTCCCACACTGCACACACACATAGCCTTCTCCAGTGTGAATTCTTTCACGTGTCTGAAGGGAACTGGGATTCGTGTACCTTTCCCCCACATGCGATTCCTTCCCGCTGCAAATTCTCCCTTGTTTCTGAAGAGAATGGGAATCCATAGGGTCATGCCCATCTTGCTCCAGGTCACAAGGTTTTGCTCCAGCCTGTGACCTTTCAGCTTTCTGGAAGCCTTGAGGACAGCTCAAGGTTTTCCCATTTTCCCTGTGTTTCATCTTCTTCCCACATTCCTGGTCCTCATAAATTCTGCACACAGTGTCAGCTCTAAGGGGCACCTCTAGCGATGACCGACCAATGAGGCCACCTCTCAACACACAGCCCTTACGCAGCGATGCTTGAGGGAGATTTTGCTCCTTCACAACACGTTCTGGAACCTGGTTGAAGATTCCTCCATGTTGAGTACCTTCATTATACTGATAGAGTTTGTCTACAATTTGACTTCTATAAAAAAGGAGCAAAGAACATTAAAAAAGATTTGCATATTCACAATTTACAAGACGTACTGGTTTTACGTCCTCACTATCGACACCCGTGGGGCCTCCTTGCCTGCAGGACGACTCAAAGATAGGTATCATCAAAGCAGCAGTAACCGTGTTTCTGGGTTGTTTTGAGAGAGGGTCTTGCTCTGCAGGTGGGCCTGCCTTGCACTCACTATGTAGCCCTGCCTGCCTGTCTTAACTCACAGCAATCTTCCTGCCTCACCCCTCGCTGTTGAGATTCCAGGTGTGTACCACCACACATGGCTCGTGAGTTGTTTTAAATATTGTATCCATGATAGGTATCTGGTAAACATTCATTGTTAGTCACAGGCCAGTGACACAGTACCTACCTGGGAAACATGAGGTCCTGAGTTCAAGTCCTAGTACCTCCCCCCAAAATGTTAGTCACTTCTAAATATATTGGTGGTTCCCTCATGCAAATACTAGGACCAAATCCCATGTGGAATTCTGAATACTTACCCATCTATAATGCTACCATGCATGTGGACTAAATGTAAATACAAGTCTGTTTCTTCATATATACCTCATACCCAAGGGCTAACAGTGAGTTGAGACAACAGTTCCATAACTTTGCACAGAAATCAAAATGTGTAAACAATGAACACTGAGAGACCCTCCCTTGCGGCACTGTGCTGGTGCCCAGAAGCAGGAAAGGCTGCAGTATCTCCATTTCCACACCTGATCCACTGTGCAAGTCGTTTCTGAAAAACCTTTTCAGCTTCAATAGATTTGAAGCTGGGTTTGTTACTCTCATTAGCTTCTTTTATAATTTCCACCAGGATTTGTGAAAGGCACTGCTTTTTCTTCTGAATACAAATTACCTTAAAGAGCTCCCAGGGTTTTGGGATTCGTCTTCAAAGTTCAGGTCTTCATATTTTTGTCCTAAAATGTAGAGCCAAAAATTGAGAACAATTATTAGCTGACAGAAAACCTGCTAGAGTCTAGCCAGATTCATCGTATTACATGATTATGCCTAGAATGCTCCTCTAAATGTTCCATTTTTATTTTCCAAATAAGGAATCAATGCTGATGAGCACGACACCTGTTTCCCGCGTCACTAGCGAACGATGTCACCCTTACCCACGGCAATCAGGTTCCTGAGGGTCTCCCACATCACATCTCTGTAGAGCTGCCTTTGGGCAGGGTCCAGCAGCGCCCACTCCTCCAGGGTGAAGTTCACGGCCACGTCCTCCAAGGTCACTGCCTCCTGCAACAGCCATACACCCCTTTCCATTAGAGCCACATGCACTGCAGCGGAGACCAACACTAATTCTGCAAGATCTTCGCAGCTGCTGTGTTCTCAGCGTGTTTTCTAGGCACCTCCACCACAGCGTGGTTCTCACCTAGAGTCCACAGCTGCCACTGGGATGGCATCCACAGTGTGACCGGGACACTGGGAGACACGCCAACCCGTGGCAGCACTGTTCCATCTACTGACTCCCTCTCCTTGGATGCCTCCTCCATCACCCCATTAGGCTAGTCCTAATTAAATAATAAATAAGATCCAAGGCAGAGGGCCCGCCACACAATGCAAAGCATTACAGTGTGCACGGCAGAGTGTCACAGAGCAGTGAGGCACGGAAGGGCAGTCCAGCTCTTACAAACCACTCAGTCCCCAAGATGTCTGCACTCACGCATGTTGGTAAACCTGTCTAATTTCTAGAATACACTTTGAACTACACAAGAAAAACAGATGACCACATTTACCAGGCATAATAAATGTCTTGCAACATTCAAAACTTTAGGAATAAGGAAGTGCTATGGTGCCTACTGTGTACAAAAACTTTACACTATCTGTGACGCTATGTATTGTCAAGAAGCCAAATAACAGATCCAAGGAAAAGCACTCAATCACCAATGGGTGTACAGATAAACAGAAAACCGAGTCGTGACAGGAGACAGTCTAACTGTGGCAGAACTCACACTAAGTTTAACACTGGAGTCAGGGATGATCAGATACATCCTTGAAAACCTACACGTTGAAGTCAGGGGTTGTGAGGAGAACAATTAGAATCAGGACACGCAGTTTATATCATTATTTTATGCTGGTCACCAGGAGTTAACACAGAAAGTGCACAAAATCTGTCCACAACACTTAAGACCCAGAATATTCAACCAAGGGCCTGAATCCCACAGCAATGTCCCACATGAGTCCAGACGAAGACCCAGAGCCATGACAATGCCTCCCACGAGTACACCACCCACAAGAAGGACTCACGCCAGTCTCTTTTACAGATCCGTGCCTGAAGGCCCAAATGTCAGTAGTGGAAGCTAGAAAGTCCACGCTAGAGGGGTGAAGGAGCTGTGCTGGTGCGATGACGGTTCTATGCTGAAGCCAAGAAGTCACACTCACAGCAAAGACCAGGGCTGTCCTGAAATGCACCACAGCCATCCTCAGCAACACAGAGGCCATGAGCTCCTCCAACAACAAGCACACTGCCAGGAAGCCAGTGTGATGAATGCATCCTGGAGACCAAGCAGCATGCATTTTCCTCTCTAGAGCCAGGAAGAGATGCTTGATGTGAGGACCACAGCTTCTCCAAGAGAACCAACAGCTCAAACAGCAACACGTAAGAGAACCCACAATGCCTCGACGCAATAGCTTCTCCATGTCTCTATTTATGCAGGCAACTTTCCTCAGGTGGACATCTACACTCAGTGCCTTCGTGATTTAATTCATCTGGCATTAAGCTGACCACCAGATTTTAATCTGTAACACTACATTACACACAACATATAATCAAATGGCACCTTGCGGAGGAAAGATGCCGCTGGGGCACTTCACTAATCAGGCAAGGAGAGCAGTTTCCCCAGAAGTAATGGCCAGTCAACGTGTATGCATCAGCAATCAAGGGAGGCAAAAATCAGCCGATAAAACAGAACTATCTGGAGTGCATGCAATACAAAAGGGTTACTTTCCAGAAAACAATGGCTGAAAAGTGAGAGCTTCAAACCTAACTCAGGACAGGGGGCCGGTGACACTGCCCACTTTCATGTCTTTTAATTTGAATCTTAATGTAATCTACAGACCTGGGTTCAAAGAATGATGTATGCATTTGTACTTGGAAATAAATGAGCTATTTTTCACAGCACTGTAATCTAAGCTTGTAAGATACTGAAATAGTTGAGGAAATAGGTTTTTCTGGGTCTTACACATGGCCAGGTATATAATACACCAAGAGGGGAAAACACCCAGAACACTTTCCTTTAAATTCTGTTAATGCATGTGGAACGTTCCAAGGAGCCCAAACAGAAAGAATGCAAAGCACGAAGAAAAGGGCCATGGCCAAGACAAGAGATGCGGGCAAATCATCAGGATGGCAGGAGCTCAGGAAGACACAAGAGAGGGTTACCAATGATTGCCACAGGTACCCGGGCTGTGATCACCGCCCAAGGCCCAGTTAGGATGTCTCCTGGGCTGCCCAGGAGAACCGCCAACATCCATCATTTTCCAAATGTGCTGCAAGACAATTTCAATGAAGATCTGTTCTCTGGTGCAAACACCAATTTCTCTATGACTGTCTGCCTTGAAAGGGGGTCATACAAGCCAGCTCGGCACCAACAACAGACAAATCACCACAGAGTAACAGGAGTCAGATCCACGCTGGCCATCGCTAGGACGAGTCTGCCAAGCAGGAAGGGACGAACAAGGCGAGCACTGGGTGGGCACCTTCAGTGCAAGCCGCGGGACCTGGCAGTGCCGCACTTTAGACGGGGGCTGACAGGTAAAAGGTTACTAACCACAGAACTAAGGGCTCAGGACGACAGGGGGACAAGGTGGACCCAGCACACAGCCACAGTGCAAGCTGGGTCGCCTTCCGTTTCCTGGCTGCATGGGAGAAGACACAGACTTTCTTCACCTGCTCTCCCCACGGCACAGAGTGAGGCTGAGGTTAAACACTGTCCCCGGGCATCAAAACAGAAATGGGCTCACACAGGTCTGCTCTGCAGCTCAACATGAAGGACCGTGAGGGTATGCTCGTGCACAATCGGAAAAGAAAAAGACTAGAACTTTGAAGTGAAAAATTCTAGACTCACAGAACAGGGAAAAGCAGACCACCGCAGCCAGTCCTGAGGAACAAAGATCATGGTGACCACCGTCCACTTACTCCAGGAGCGAGCCAGGCACCACAGGAAGCTAAGGCATCCCCGGAGCGCTCTGGCCTAAGACAGCCACTCTGATCAGGGCTCCTGTTAGAGCGGAGCAGGCTCAAGTGAACAGCTTAGGAGGAATCTGAAGATACCCGAGAAACAACAAAAATCCTGGCCCCACTCACATGAATGAGGGAAATTATAAACAGCAGACTGGGTATCAACGAAATTAACTTAAAAAAAAATCAACAAATTGGAGCAGCTGGTTCTGTCACAGAATAAAACCAATGAGCCTCCAGCCACTTCCCGAGAGAGAGAGAAAGACTCGCACCGATGCAGTTAGAAGTGAAAAGGTGAGCTCACAACAGACACGCCAAAATGCAGAAGGAAAAACAGTATCCCAGCAAATTGGCAAATGCGGAAGAAACAGATTCCTAGACTCATAAACTACCAGACTAACCTAACAAAACATAAATATGCTAAATACATCAAACACGCAATGCAACTGACACAGTAGTAAGGAATCTACCAACTCAAAAACCACCCAGGACCTGAGGTGCTCACTGCTGAATCCTACACAGCCCTTAAGGTGCTGTCTCATCAATGCTGTTCCAGCTCTTCCAAGAGTCTGAAAGAGATTAATGGCAAGCAAGACTCACCCTGATTCCAAAACCAGAGAAAGACTCAACTAAAAAAGAAAGCTATAGGCCAATCTCCTTAATAAAGAAAGATACAGAATCCTCAAGAAGATACTAGCAAACCGAATGCAGCACATCACTGAAAAGACCATACAGGTTTCACCCCTGAGACCCAACAATGGTTCAACACATGTATTCCAATAAACGAAATTCCCCACACGAACAGCAGGAAGGCCAAAACCACACGATCCTACCACTAGACACAGAAAAGCTTCTGACAAAATCCAATGCCCTTTTTATGGTAAGAACTCTGAAAAAAGTTCTGGAAAGACCACATCTGAATTTGCTAAAAGCTATTTATGAGAGACCCACAGCCAGCAGCATATTAAATGGCAAAAATCTAAAAGAGTTCCCCTCCAAAATCAGGACCAAGGCAAGGATGTCCAACATCATCACTGCTACTCAACACAGTGCTACAAACATTAGCCACGGCATCAGGTAAGAGGAAGAAAGAAAAGGAAAACTTACAGGAAAGAAAGAACTAAATGATTATTACTTGCAGATGACGTGATACTCTACATAGAAGGTCCAGAGGACTCCATCAAAAACCCCCTAGAATTCACAGCCAATCTCAGCAGCATAGCAGGATAAAGATCACAGGAAGCCCACCAATAACAGATGCGCTGAGTGGTATTATTTTGGAAATATACTAACCACAACTTCAAGAACCCCATCCATACCCTACACAACTTGGATATAAAAAAAGGACAATTTGAAGGTATTTGTGCAGAAGTGGATGCAACTGGAAAATATGGTATTGGGTGAAATAAGACACACACATAACACAAGCCTGAGTAACTGTACAGTATCCTGAGTAACGCAAATACAAACTAAGAAAATAAAGGGAGGACAAGAGACGAGGAGATGGATCCCTTGTAGATGGGAAGAGGTTCGGGGGCCAACAGCACAGGAGAGAATGAGGAATCAGAGCAAAGATATGCCATGTATGGGACCCTAATAACCTCAATCAACACGCAAATTATACGCCATGAACATGAACTAAGACTAATGTTATCAACAAGAATGAAAAGGGATAAAGAGGAAATCAGAGAGAAGGGGAAGGAGGAGGAAAGGGGGTTTACAAAAAGTGAAACAAGCTGATTATGCACCTGTACCCCCTCCCCAAGACTGTAAACTTCATGTACTACAAACATGTACTAATAATTATTTACAGACTGGCTGAAATTATGCAGCCTGAAAGAGGAAGAGAAAACAGATTCAGATTAAAAGAATGTATCAAAAAGCCAGGTGTGGTGGCTCAAGCCTGTCATCCCAGCACTCGGGAGGCTGAGGCGGGAGGAACATTGTGAGTTCAAGACCAGCCTGGGCTACAAAGTGAACTCAAGGCCAGCCTGGACTGCATAGCAAGACCCCATCTCAAAAAAGACCAAAAAAAAAAAAAAAAGTGTCAGCTGTTATGTTCGCTGCACGAACTGAAAGAACATCTAGAGAAAAATAAAAAGGCGTATATTCATAAAATCTGATCACACAAAGAAGGGTGGCAGAAAGGCTACGTGTTGTGGCGCACACCTGTAATCCCAGCATTCAGGAGGCTGAGGCAGGAGTATGGCTGTGAGTTCAAGGCCAGCCTGGGCTCCATACAGTCAATAGGGACCAACCTCAATTACACAGCAAGACCCTGTCTCAAAACAAAACAAAAAAAAAAAAAAAATATGCATACATATAAACAGATGAATGTTTGCTCACGCTAATGACAACATCGCACTTGGTGTTAATAGGTAAAATGAATGACAGCAATTGTATATGGGCTAGAAAAGGAGGCAGGAACACACAAAGTTACCCGCACTGCCCGGGAATCAGTGCACCGTCATTGGAAAGTGCCTTTAGGAAGGCTGCACACAGACTTTGAGAACTCTGGAAAATCCATAAAAAGAAAACATATACTTGGTGTATTACTAATGGACAAATACTGAATCAGACCACATTCAATTTAAATAAGACTGCAGAGAAACATGGGCAGTTTACACATTAATCAACAGCAATTGATACCAATGAGACGCAGTTATAGGGCTGGGGATTGAGCCCAACGGCACAAGCGCCTGCCTGGCAGGGACACGAATTCAATCCCCGGTATCAAAAAAAAGAAAAACGCAATTATAGACATGGTACATATTAATCAATTCAATCAATAATCATTTCAAATGTGAATTGTCTACGCCAATTAAATAACAGGATGACACAACAGATTAGAAAATAGCACTTTAGTGTTCTCTATAACAATCACTTTAAATAAATATACATGGAGTTAGAGGAGGTATTTTTCAAAGGTTTAAACTTTCAGTGACATATAAGAAATATATTTAGTACATATACTATATAATACATCTATTATATAATACGGCCACCACAGTGAAAAGCATTCTCTAATACTCTAAAATATCACTCATAGATTAAAGTGATTTCGCCACCAAAAAAAGAGACTGTTATGAGGTAATGTGTATAGTCATTCTCTCCTAAAAATTTATCTATTCCATAATGTATACACATTAATTTTGCTGAGAGGACATAACAATACTTATAGGGATTCTCCTCAAAAAGCAACCAATTAACAGACGTTCGCAGGGCGTGCCTGTAATCCCAGCACCTGGGAGGCTGAGGCAGGACTGTTTCGAGTTCAAAACCAGCCTGGGTTCAAGGGAAGCCAACTACACAGCAAGATCCTGCCTTAAAACATTAATTAATTCATGCTTTTTAAGTTGAAAAGCACGAATTTCCCAGAATAAACCACTGCAGGCTGACAAGACCTTGTCTGCCCAATTCTGGGAAGTCAATTTAATAAAATACAAAACCGGTCCAACGACCACAGCCTCAAAAACAGTCCTATTTGAAAGACAGCTACAACTTCCTCTTACACGCCTACAAAACCCCAAAGGCTGTGAGAGAGGGCACCATTCTGTTCTAGGTGTCAGTGGTTCATGTCAAATCTGTCCTCCACTGTGGAGCTCATCTCTTTTTTTTCCTAATTTTCCCTTGATTTCTCACCGGTTTTTCTTAACATCGTGGGGGGGGGGGAGTCAGCCAGGGCTGGGCCCCTGAAGGAGCCGGTAAAAAAACCAGGTACCTGGCAACCTCGGATACCAGACACCCCTGCCGCAGGCCAGATCTCTGGACAAAAGGCAAAAGAAATGCAACCACACCCTGCGATAAACATCAGGATTGATTTTCTAAGTAGATATGCATCGCCCAGAGGAAGCCAGGAGCCACCATCCCAACCCCCCCCCCACAGGAAGCCACTGCTCTTTAAGCCTGCCGGATCACGACGTGACTCGCTCCCCCATTCGTCCCTGATTTGGTTAGTTTTACCTGAACAATTACTTTATTGATTGCCCATAGTTCTGTCCCACCTCGGGCCTGTCTGCCTTTGAGTTCCCAGCTTCCCCTTTTGAGACCCGTCTTACCCCGAGGTTTTGCTCTGTGAAAGCGTCTAGAGAAGGCGGGGTCCTTGGCAACCCACTCCGGACCCCTTCTGTCTCTCTCCCAAGCAGAAGCTTTGGTTCTCTATGTAATATATTCTGCTTTTAACCTCCGTCGTCCCTAAAATTCCTTCTTCGATTTTAGAGAACAAGGGCTCGTACCGGACATACCGTAGTTTGGGAGTTTGACTCCCCCTGATCACCCGCTTCCACTCAAACCCCGGGTATCACAAGGACACAGGGTCCCCCTTTTCCAACCAGTTAGACAACACGGAGGAGCGTCAGGAAATGTACGACTTTTAAAACTTCTTTAAATTATTATTATTTTAAAGTGCACTGAAGCCCCCCTTGAAAACACTCAGGAAAAAGGAGGCGCGGTGAGAAGGGCAGGGACCCCACGGAGGAGAGCGCCGGCCCGCGGGAGCCCCCACTGGAGGTCCCGGACCCAGCCTCAGGAGCGTACCGAACTACAGCAACCGGTCCCGGCTGCACACATAGCACAACCCGCGACGCGGCGGCTTCCCGCTTGTGCGAATAGCCCGGCGTCCCCGCCCCCGGACGCCCCGCCCCCCGCTCACCATTCCCAGATTCCGGGGTGACCCGAAGTCCTCGTTCAGGGTCCCGCAGGCCTCAGAGGTCACACGAGAGAGGTTCGTCGACGCGCGAGTCCAGGCGCAAGCACAGGTGCAGAATGAAGGGAAATTTCGCGCGCACCGAATGACGCTCCGAAGAACAGAGCTCCACATTGGACAGTTCACGTCGCCCCACCCTGCAACCTTATTGGTTCGTCACTCTGTCTCCGCCCCCTGACTTTTGATTGACAGGCGATGCTTACCTGTCTCGGGACTGAAACAGACTCCAGACTTACCCGAGCGCGCTTCCGTGGTGTGGTGGGGGGATGGCTTTTCTTTCTCTAATTTGATTTTTAAGGGTTTTCCCTGCTGAAGTATTAATTAGTTAAACCTTTCAGTGTCCTCAAGACAGAAACATCACTCACAGGACCAATTATTGGTGAAGGATGAACTTTCGAACGAAGAAAAGCGGAGAATTAAAATCCATTAGCAGCTACTAGCTTTAGGAAGCGCCTTTAGCAGAATATGATTGCTGATCTAAAACCTAATTTTTTGCTTTTCTTTTCCTTCACTAAATTTATTTTAGTGTACTGTCAATGGGGAAACTGTAAAAGGCATTTACATTTTCTTCTATTAAAAAACAGGTAAACTGAGGCACGACCGACCCAAACAAAATGCAAGCAACAAACAGAAATTTATTTCAGTCTAGGTGCAGGGGGACCGCACTGGCCCCGCGGGTTTGGGTGTAGGGGAAGTTTATAGGGTTGTTCCGCTCGGGGTGGGGGCCGGCTAGAAAGGCCAGAGGTTTTGCAAGTTTCAGAGCTCAGATCGGAGGGCAAAGCTGTGACTCCCCGTGAGCTCTGTGTCTCTGCAGTTGGAGTTAGCAGCTCCTCTGGGAGAGGTTTTCTTCCCCTGCTCGAGCAGGAACAAAACAAACACTAAACAAAATTTCATGACAACGTAGAGAATAACAATAGTTAATATACGTGTAACGTAATCTGAAAAAAAATTGCCAAAATTCTACCCAGAGAAGAAGTCCTAGACCAAAAACAGCAACAAAAAATTTACAAAAAAGAAACAGAAAAGTTAAAGGGAAAAGCTTTTTCAATGAAGAAAAAAAAACTGGTAATATAAATTTAAAAAATTAATATAAATCTTAAAATATTTTTGAAACAATGGCATAGATAACTTGAAGAATTATCCGGACTTTTCCCTACTTTCTGTACACCTTTTTTCCATTCCTCACTTGTCTGTCTTCTGTCTGTCCCTCCCACTTTAATTCTCATGTAGAGAAACCATGCAGTATTTAAGCTTGTGTGTCTAACCTGTTTAACTTAACACTATGTTTTCAAGTTGTACCCTTTTTTCCTGTGAATGCCTCAAGCTTACCCTTAAGGCAGACTAGTTCTCCACTGGGCATAGATACATTTTCTTTATACTTTCACTGTTGTGGACATACAGGCTCTTTGCAAAATGCAGCTATTATCAACTGTGCTGCTATAAACACGGGATGCATGTGTACCTGTAATACGGGGGCTTAATCTCTCTTAGAAGTTACCTTGAAGCAGGGTAGGTAGGTTAAGTGGAATCGCTTTTTTATTTTTAGTTTTTCAGGAACATCTACACTGTTTTCCATACCACTGCTTTCCATAGTGGTTGTACTGGTTTGTATTCCCACCAACAAGGTGGCAGAGTTCTTTTTTCTCACATCCTGGCCTGTACTGGCTATTTTGATGATACCTATTTTTTCTGGCGTAAGATAGAATCTCTGTGTTGTTTTAATTATTATTCTTGTGGGGAAAACCAGTACGGGAATTGACGAATCAGTGATGACAATCACCAGGTGCTCTGTGCAAGATCATTCACACGTTCTTTACTCTTTGGAAACTTGTCAACGCCACCCCTCCACCACCGACCCAGCCAACAAATGACAGCAATAGTAAATCCTAAGGATATTACACATTTCCCTTTGAAGACCCCTCTCTGACATCAGGATGAAAGGTCCTGAGTCTCTCTACTATATGATGATTTCAATTATCTTTTTGGATTTGTCAAACAGGATAGATAAATAGAGATGTTTTAAGTAAACACCAAGAGTTTACCGAAAGTAAATGAAAAATTAAGAACCCTGACTAGTCCAATAACAGGCAATGAAGTTGAACCTGTGCTTTTAAAAAAATACCAGACTAACTACGAGAAGCCCAGGTGCAGATGGGAATTGTACAAAACCCTTAGGGAAGTTGTGACACCAATACTGACTGGTCAAGCCTTCTGATAAAATTGACAGGGAAACAATATTCCCAGAAATAATCCCCACTGTTACCTTTATTCCAAACTCACACGAGCATCCCACCAAAAAAGAGAACCACAAACCAATCTCTAATGAACATAAATGCAAAAGTGTTCAACAGGATACTGGCAAACAGCCAGGCATGGTGGCGCACACCTGTCATCCCAGAACTCGAGGCTGAGGCAGGAGAATCACTGCAAGTTCAAAGCCAGTCTGGGCTACATAGTGAGTTCAAGACCAGCCTGGACTACACAGCAAGATTCTGTCTTAAAAGAAAAATTACAGACCAATCTCCTTAACTAAAATGGATGCCAAAATCCTCAACAAGATACTGGCAAACAAACTACAGTGGATTATTGAAAAGACTATACATCATGACAGAGTTATTTGCTCGGTCTTTCCAGCTCCCACTGCTGAGCTTTCTGGCACAGATTTGTAAAAGAGACTGGCGTGAGTCCTTCTTGTGGGCTCTGGACCTCCAGTTGGACTCGTGGGAGGCACTGTCATGAGCTCTGGGTCTTCATCCAGACTCACGTGGGACATTGCTGTGGGCTCCAGGCCCTTGGCTGAATATTCTGGGTCTTTAGTGTTGCGGATAGATTACCTGCATTTTCTTGTGTTAAGTCTGGGTGACCATCATAAACAATATTATAAACTCCATGTCCCGATTCTAATTTTTTTTTCGCACAACCCCTGACTTCAACAGACAGTTGTGTACTCCTCAGTGTACCCTTCGGCCAAACCTAAAACACGCCAAGAGGAAGAATGGACCCCAGTTCGTCCCTGTGCCACTCCCATGCTGTTCCAAAACTGTTCTTGGCATGTGGATGGAAGGTCAGAAATACCCTTCAGCAAGGGGATTAAAGTTCCTGGTGTGTCCTCTGCTCTGTGATCATTCACTTAAAAATTGTCCAGCAAGTGCTTCCTCCACAGGACACTGCACAGTAGAATTGGGAACACTTAGACTGATCTCGTGGGGTGCAGGTGTGTTTGACCCCTCATTTTCCAACTGAGACTGAAGAAGATTAGCAACATGCAAGGTTGCACAGCTCAAAGTGGATGGAAAGGCAGGGGTGGCTCCCCAGCCGGGGCACTGGTTTTTGCAGTGAGTGGTTCCTCCTCCAGGGAGATTTTAATACCCTTAATTGACCACACTTCCGGAAGCAGCAGCTGTCCGCTCTGCTCCCCAGTCCCGGGATGGCTGCTTTTCTGATTCCAACCCAAACAGGTGTACGGTCACGCCACGCAGTAAACTCACACTTAAATTTTCTGGGGGCTGCTTGTTTTGTTGGTTTTCGTATATGGGAACCCGTTAGATGTCGAGTTCACGTCCCACAGCACCAAGAAATGAAGTCACAAACCAAAGGAGGAAGCTGGGGAAATTTTATTGGAAAGAAGGAGAGAAAAGTGGTTTCTAGGAGGGCCACTAAGAGCCTTGGTCTAGAGTAATTTATACAGCAGAGTCCCAGTGTGCGCACCGTGTGGCTCAAACTGCTGTAACCTACAGCACCACTCAGCCCCTGCTGACTCAGTAGGAAAGGGGGACACATGGCCAGGGCACATGGAGAGAACAAAGGACTGGGAGAACGGGGATCCCTCTGGCCACTCACCACGGTGACCGGTGGCTCTCCGGACTCCCTGGACCAGGTGGTGCTGATCACAGTACAATTTCATGTTAGTGTTTATCCCTCAGGGAGGGGTTTTCTCATCCGGAGAGAATGGCCATCACTGGAAATCACAGGTTTTGTGCTAATACTGTCTGGGCATTGTTTCATGTCTATACCGTGTACTCTAAACAACGATTATGCAGTGTATTAATTATTGTGCTGTCCTGCTAGCCTGTTTGGAAACTGTTTTATTGTCATTTTTTTTTTTTTTTTTGTCTTTTTCCTTTTTATCGGTACCAGGGATCGAACTCACGACTGCCTGCTTGCAAGGCAGGCGCTTATGCCACTGAGCTAAACCTCCAGCCCCTTTATTGTCATTTTTACTTTTTTTTTTCCTCTTTTAAAAAAAAATCTAATCGTAACAAAAACCAGCAAGGCTGCAAATACATGTGGAGGACACCCGCCATCCGGGCAGCGGCACCCTGACATCTGGTTTGATTTCCTCCAAGTGTGCCAGCTCTGAGCACCGGACCTGCAGCCCCGTGGGGTGACGGAGGAGGCTAGGGTGCGGTGTCCTGGGAAAGGGGGCGTTAACCGGAAACCTCAAAGGGGAATGGAAACCTCGGGGCGCGTGAGGGAGCAGAGCCAGAGGAAGGGCGTCCCAGCCAAGGGGGAGGAAGGGAGGAGAGGGAAGGAGGGAAGAGGTTAGGCAGTAAGGAGAGAGAAAGAAGATGAATAGATAGGTGATAAATAAATAGATTGATTGATTGATTGATTGACTGATTGACTGATTGATGGATGATGGGGAGGGAAGGCTGCACACCTCTGAGTCCCCCTGGACCGTCTCTGTGCATCCCCAGGCAGGCTCCGTGGAGAGGCACCGGGAACTGTCACCAGAGGACACACCCCAGAGACAAAGCTCCCGCCCCTCCGTCGTGACCCAAGTCCTTTGTGCACCCCTGTCTGGGCTGCACAGCGTCCCTGAAGGTCCCCAAAGCAGGTAAGCTCAGTCCTCTATCTGGGGCATTTCCTAGGATGAAGGGGGACCACTGCACATGTGGGAGGGCAGAGGGAATTGGGGACTAGAGATCACTGGAGCGGAAGGAGGCGCTGGTGTGGGCGCAGGAGAAGGCTGGAGCCCACAGCCCCGGGCACCGGCTGCTGGCCACCAGCTCACCCCTGCTGGGGTCCGTGCAGGTCTGTGCCGTGCTGACTAAGTCTGCTAAGACCCTGCTTCCTGCTCCCACGTTAGATCAAACTCTAGGTGGAGGTGACCTTCTGTTGCTGTGACGCTGACTGAATGGAATTGGTCATTTTCATTCTCTTATGTGCTTGTGTTTATGTTTTTTAGTGACTCACTTTGCACTTAAAGATGTCCCTTTCCTATTCTATGTTTCTTTTTATCTTCCATGGTTCGTTCCTGATCCATCTTGATTCCCTTTTCGAATGTGCTATCGGGAGGCTCCAGGTTTGGTTTTATTTCCACGGAAATGTGCTTTTTCCAGCAGCATCCCCCACGCCATGCTCTCTGCCTGCTGATGTGTTCTGGGACCGTAACTATGTCCACACACGTCTCTGGCAAGGAGGTCTCCCTCTGAATCTCAGGTCTGTCCCTCCCAGCACTGGGCCCCCAGGGCTTTATTTCCAAGGCTTTCCAGGCAGCCACAGTAACTGAGAAGGCTTCTCTCCCATCCCCACTCCACCGGCTCCTCATTTGCAAGGTTAACTTTGCTATGCAAGGTTCACTTTATTCCGTCATGTTATCTTTCTCCCAGGAAAAAAAAAAACCCACTGGATTTTTAATGAATTTACAGATTACGGAGAAAAAACTAACACCTGCCTTCTATTGTGCGTTTTCTTTAAAACTCCCGCCAGCTTCCCCCTTTATAGGGGATTTAATCACACTCTGAGGAAGCCCTCTGTGCAGTGAGTTAAATTAACTCCGAGAGCCTTAATCTCTGCCACTGTGCATGCAACCTCAATTTATTTGGCTTTTTTTTATTTTTAGGTGATTTTGAACTTACAAAAAAGCCTTGCAAATACAGTACAGAAAATTCTTTTTTTTTTTTTTTTTTGTCTTTTTCATTTTTATCGGTACCAGGGATCGAAGTCACAACAGCCTGCTTGCAAGACAGGGGCTTATGCCGCTGAGCTAAATCCCCAGCCCCAGTACAGAAAATTCTGATAGTTGCTTCCTCTGACTTCCCTTGTTGGTAGAATCACGCATAAGCCGTCTGCAGTTACCAGGAAATCAACACTGGCACAACACTTTTATGCACGCTGTGTTACCTAAACTTCGTCAGGTTTTGTACTAATATTTTTTATAGTCAAAGATGCACTCCATTTCATTTAGTTGGTGTCTCAACTTTCCGTTATCATTTGTTATTATGTAAACATGTTTCTTTCTTTTTCCTTTTGTCTTAGGAGGCTGGGGATGGAACCCAGGACCTCACACAGGCAGGGCAAGTGCTTTGCCACTGAGTTATAATCCCAACTCGGGTTCAGAGAATTTAATTCTCCTTTACTCCAAAACACATGCATGTTTATTTCTTTTATGTCCTAACACCAAATTGTTTTTTGTTTAGTTGGGTTTTTGTTTTGGTTTGGTTTGGCTTTTGTTTCATTTTGTTGTTTGTTTGTTTTTGTCTTTGTGAGGCAGGGTCTCTCTATGCTGAGCTCACTTTGTAGCCCAGGCTGGTCTCGAACTCACAGTGATCCTCCTGCCTCAGCCTCCCGAGTGCTGGGATGACAGGCGTGCACCACCACGCCCGGCTGTAGACAGCTTTGTAAAAGAACTTACACCACCTGGCCAGGTACAGGAGCGCCCCTGTCCTCCCGAACACTGGCCCTTCTCCCTCTGCCCCCAGGAGGCCTGGCTGCCATGCGGGGGGCCAACCAGTCCTCGGCGGCCGAGTTCATCCTGCTGGGCTTCTCCGCCTTCCCCCGCCTGCGGCTCCTGCTCTTCCTGCTGGTCCTGCTCATGCACCTGTCCACCCTGCTGGGCAACCTGCTCATCGTGGCCACCGTGCGGGCCGAGCGCGGCCTCCACACGCCCATGTACCTCTTCCTGTGCGCCCTGTCCCTCTCCGAGCTGCTCTACACGCTGGCCATCACCCCGCGCGTGCTGGGGGACCTGCTGGCCGCGCGCCCCTCCATCCCCGCGGCCGCCTGCGCCGCCCAGATGCTCTTCTCCTTCGCCTCCGGCTTCAGCCACTCCTTCCTGCTCACCGCCATGGGCTGGGACCGCCACCTGGCCATCTGCCGCCCGCTGCGCTACGCCGAGCTCATGAGCCCGCGGGGCTGCGCCCGCCTGGTGGCCTGGTCCTGGGCTGCGGGGTGGGCCGTGGGGCTGGCGGCCACCGCGGCCGTCCTCCACCTCCCTTTCTGCGGCTCCAACAGGATCCACCACTTCTTCTGCCACGTGCCCCCGCTGCTGGAGCTGGCCTGCGGGCGGGAGGCGCGGCGGGTGGCCCGGGGCCTGCGCCTGCTGTGCAGCTCGGCCCTGCTGGGCTGCGGCTGCTCATCCTGCTGTCCTACGCCCGCATCGCGGCCACCGTGCTGAGCATGCCGTCCGCCCGCCCGCGGCCGGCGCAGAGCCTTCTCCACCTGCGCCTCCCACCTCACCGTGGTGGTCGTGCACTACGGCTTCGCCTCGGTCATCTACCTCAAGCCCGGGGGCCCCCGCTCCCCGGAAGGGGACACCTTGATGGGGCTCACCTACACGGTCCTCACGCCCTTCCTCAGCCCCATCATCTTCAGCCTCAGGAACAAGGAGCTGAAGGCGGTCGTGAGGAAGGCCTTGCTCGGCCACGGCCCCTGCGGGGACCCCTGAGGGCCACTGTCGCAGGGGCCATGCTGGGGGCTCTCTTCCTGTCCCCTCTGCCTGTCTGTCTGTCTCTCTCCTCTCTGTCTGTCTCTGTTGCTCTCTGTGTGTCTTTCTCTCTGTGTCTCTGTCTCTGTCTGTCTCTGTGTGTCTCTCTCTGTCTCTCTCTTCTCTCTGTGTCTCTCTGTCTCTGTCTCTCTCTCTCTATCTCTCTCTCCCCCTAATATTGAGGCTGCTCGGCGCTCCCAGACCACCGAGTACCCCGCCATTCTGGTCCAGTCCTCTGAATCTTCATTGCGCTGTAATTCACACGCCACGTGACTTGCCCGTTTAAAGTTTTGCACGCCCCTCGGCACACTCAGTTTAGAACACTTTCATCACCTGCAGAAGAAACTCGGAACATTTCAGTCATCGCCCCTGCCCTGAGCAACCACCAGTATGCTCTGTGTCTACGGTGTGCACCTCGTGGGTTTTACATAGGTTCAGCCCAGGTTCTCCCAGGCAGCACCCATGTTGTCAGGGTTCCCCCACGTTGTAGCCCATGGGAATGCCTTGCCTTTTCCACGGCTGCATACTATTCCATGGATGGATTGGCCACCTGATGGTGGTCATCCACCCAGTAGTTGGTGGACATTTGCATTGTCTCTGCCTCTTGGCTACTGTGAAATATGCTGCTATCAAAAGTTGCACGTGAGTCTGTGTGGACGTAGATCTCACAGCTCGCCCTCGGAGCTGAACTGAACTGATGGGCCACGCAGCAGCTCTGTGATCATGTGGGGACCTGCCGTAGCTATTCCAGTGACTGCTGTGTCGTGTCCCTTTGGAGGTGCCTGGGTTTGCTGCCTCCTCCCCCACCTCGCCAGCACCTTTCCATTGTGTTCACCCTGGTGCTGTGTTGTGGTTAATTTAATTTAATTTAATTTTGTCGTGCTGGGAATCAAGCTAGGGGCTGGCCCAAGCCGAGGAAGGGCTACTCCGCCGACCTGCTGCCCCAGCCTCCCGGGGATGTGGTCTGCATTTCCTACGAGACTTATCCTAGGTCTTAGACATTTAATGCGTGAGTTATTTCACCTGACAGGGAAGACGGGGTTATTAGCCACATGTTGAAGATGAGGAAGTGGGCCATGAGGAGAGGAGGAAAACCAGGACTCAGCCTTGGACTGCAGCTGGAGCAGAACCAGTCCTGTGAGCTGAACTGGTACCATAAGCACGCACTTCTCAGGGGCTGTGGGGTTCAGGGGGAGCCAGCCTGCTCCAGAAACAGGAGATTTGGGCAAGAGACAGACTGGAGCTAAGGGCCAGACTTGTGGTCTAACGTCAAGGCTCAGAAAGTTTCGGATTTTAGGGATGCTCAACCCGTACTGAATTCTTTATTCTAAAAAATAAAATCCCTGACTCCTGGGTCTGGAGCAGCATGCATGAAGCCCTGGTTTTGGTCCCTAAAAAACCAGTTCCTGGCCCCTCTTAAAGCCAGGTTAGGGCCGGGGATGTAGCTCCGTGGTGAAGGCACCTGCCTGGCAAGCACAAGGTCCTGAGTTTGATTCCCAGCACCAATAAATAAAGAAATCAATAAAGCCAAGTTATCTGGTTATAATATTATTATATTATAACCAGCCACGCCTGTGGGCGTCCGTGGCCTGACTTCTAGGATGTGGAGGAGCAGTGCAGGGTTTCCCCCACGAGCCGTCACAGCCCAGGGAAGTTTCACGGGGCAGGCTCAAGTTTGGGGACAGCTCGGGCAAATCACGGTTGTGGAGGCAGACTTGGAATACGGACAGACTGTGAATTTAAAAGAACTGATACAAAAGCGGCTTCTGAATTAGACCCCACAGATGTCACTGTTGTTCGGGTGACCGATGTGAAAATAAAATAAACCATATTTCCTTGACTTAGCGGTAATTGCTTTATGAATTCCAAACAGCCAAGAGAGGTGAACTCAGGGAATACACCCAGGCATTGGTTCTTAAAAGAGGAACACGGCCCCTGGGTCAGGCACCTGAGGATGCTGGGTCCACAAAGGGCCACACAGCATCCGCCCTGAGAAAAATTTCGATATTTTGTTCATCGAGGAATTTTAAAGATGAAGTATAATTTTATATGTATCACACTGCCACCCTCCATCCCATAAATATCTATAATTTAAAAAGAAATGTTTTTATGCATTCGATGTTATTTTTTTTCCTGAAGTCTTTGGTGGCCCCTTAAGTTGGGTACTCAAGGAGACTGCATCACTTGCTTTCTCCCAAAAGGGGAAAAAAGTCTTGCCTTTCTTCTTCCTCTAAAGACAAAGAAGGAGGAGGAGATGGAGGAGATGGAGGAGATGGAAGAGGAGGAGGAGATGGAGGAGGAGATAATGGAGGAGAAGGAGATGGGGGAGGAGGAGGAGAAGATGGAGGAGGAGGAGATGGAGAAGGAAGAGATGGAGGAGGAGGAGATGGAGGAGGAGGAGATGAGGAGGAGGAGATGAGGAGGAGGAGGAGGAGATGGAGGAAGAGGAGGAGCAGGAGATGGAGAAGGAGGAGCAGGAGATGGAGGAGGAGGAGGAGATGGAGGAGGAGGTGGAGGAGGAGGAGATGGAGGAGGAGCAGGAGATGGAGGAGGAGGAGGAGGAGATGGAGGAGGAGATGGAGGAGGAGCAGGAAATGGAGGAGGGGGAGATGGAGGAGGAGGAGGAGGAGATGGAGGAAGAGGAGATGGAGAAGGAAGAGATGGAGGAGGAGGAGATGGAGGAGGAGGAGATGAGGAGGAGGAGATGAGGAGGAGGAGGGGGAAGAGGAGATGGAGGAGATGGAAGAGATGGAGGAGGAGAAGGAGGAGGAGGAGGAGGAGGAGGAGGAGGATTGGGGAGGAGAGGAAGCTATTACTAATTTATCCGTAACAAAATAAAGCTGAATGCAAGCAGTCAGTGTGGACAGCTGGAGTCCTGGTGAAAGGGAGCGACCCTTGGTCCACCCACACACAGGGAGTGGGGGTGGCTCCTCCGCTGACCACAGGCCCTGGCAGCACTGCCCCACCCAGGAGCACTGCCTCTGTCTTTCCTGAAGTCCCCTGCTCTGCGTCCCTTGCTAATGGTCCCCTCCGTACTGCAGTCTCTGGTGTCCCCAGGTCACAGCCCAGAGAGGAGATTCGGGGCGGGTGGGTGGAGACAGGCCCCCTGTTCCCTGGAATGCATCCTGCTGGGCCGTGGCCTCTAACCTTCGTGATCGGCTGCACCCTGTCTCGGGATTTATTGAGGGTCTTTGCATGTAGCTCCCTGAGCCCTGAGCAATCGGCCTGCAGTTCTCTGCCTTGGCGGGCCCTTCTCTGGTTTGGGGTCAGCTCCCCTGCGGGGATGGGTCTGGGGGGGCACTGCTCCCCTTTCCATTTTAGTAAAGAGCTTGGGGAGCCTCAAGTCTCCTTTAAAGTGACTGCAGAACCCAGCATGACTCTATCAGGAGCTGGGCTTTTCTTTGTAGTCCTTTGTTAAATATTTCATTGGCTGATGTCGGGTTATTTAGAATTTTTACATCTTCGTGCTTTGGTTTTGGCGATTCCTGAGTGTCTGAGAATCTGTCTGCTTCTCCCGTTTTCCACCTCATGTGAGCAGGATCCTCACTGCTATTAATTTTCCTCTTAGAATTGCTTTCACTGTGTCCCATAAGTTCTGTTGTGTCGGGTCAGCATCACCGTTTAACTATAGATGGTGTTTAATTTCTTCTTTAATTTCCTCTGTGACCGGGGCAGCCCCAATGGAACAGGAGACAGGAGACGCTCTTGTGGACGACAGTTAACTGCTGTTTTATTCACGCGGGCTCTGGTTTATATATTTGGCCGTGACCAATCACAGGCTGCCACAAGGAAGCAGGGCGGGAATGGGATGCAGGCTCTGGCTACTATATCCAGCTGTGGCCAATCAAGAGTTGCCACAAAAGTATGGAGTAGAGTGCGGGGTGTGCACGGGTTGGCTAATTTAAAGAGGGACGTAGCGCATTGCGGAAGCTGGCGTGGTCCTTAGTCCCGGGTGGGGTATGGTATGTTGAGCGCCTGCGCCCAACACCTCTGTGACCCACTGGTTGGCCAGAAGGATGTTGTTTAATCTCTATGTGTTTAGGGACCATTCTCGGGGGTTCTTTTGCCACTAATTTCTAAAGTCATTGCAGAATGATCAGATAATATGCGTGGAATAATGTCAATTCTTTTGCATTTACTTAAGCCTGTTCTAGGGGTACCCAGGAGTGGGGGCCCTTCCATTTTCCAGGTTCTTTATTTGGATATCAGTGGTATCTGAGTTCCAGCGGGTGTTTGGTTAAGCGAATGAAGACACTTTTGTTCTTTTTTTCCAGTTCTTATTTTTTATTAGTCCGGGCTTGCAGATCAGGTGCATGCACAGAACACACCCCCACCCTGCCCTTCTGCAAAAGCTCTCTCTCTCTCTTCTTCTCTTTTATTTTGTTCTTTATTTATATTTGGGGGCTCTCCCATGAGAGAAACTATGCAACATTTAACGGCCTGGGTGTTGCATTTATTTCATTCCGCAGTATGGTCTCTGAGCACCTGTTTTCCTACAAACACCGGACTTTTAGCCTATGGCGGAGAAGCGCTTCGCTGTGTAAAAACACTACATTTCCTCCGTCCACTCACCTGCACATAGGGGCCACTTTCCAGATTTAACTACCATGCATTGTGCTGCTGTGAACGTGGGTGTGCCTGGATCACCATAACATCATGTCTTTAACTCTTAGGAAGATACCTAAAAAGGGAATTGTTAGCTCAAGTGGAATTTCCAGTTTTACTTTACAGAGGAATTTTCAAATTTATTTCCCTACTGGTTGTAGTAGCTTACAATCACACCAGGGACAGAGAAGTATTCCTTTTTCTCTCCAGTCCTGCCATGGGTTTTTTTTTTTTTTATCGGTACCGGGGATCGAACTCACGACCATGCACTTGCAAAGCAGGCGCTTATGCCACTGAGCTAAATCCCTAGCCCTGAGCCATTGGTTATTATTCGATTTCCTGATGATAGCCAACCT